TTTTCATTGCCTTGGTCAGCCATGTAGCAGTGCATTAAAAATGGCAAGAACAGCAGTGGACAACCTGAAATTCCAGGAGGTTCCCTCCCCCTGGTAATCCAGTTGCATGGACTATTGACACAAGTGGGCTGTCCCATAGGACATGGACAAGGCTGGGGAGGGACTGTTGACTGTTGGCTGGTTGTGAGTGAGGGGCTAACAGGTTGAAACCTGTTGCAATACAGTAATTATAGTGACTCTGTTGTGAGTCTTGACTGTCAAGGGCAGAGTTAACTTCCTCCTGCTGAATGGAACATCTGCTTTGCTGAATTCACTCATCATATTTGAAGCAGTGTACTTGAAATCACTGCCAGACTTACATCTGTGGAGTTGCAGTATGCAAATTCAAACATTTCAGTGTATGTTTGATCCACTGATCATTGTTTCTTGAATGTATTGCCTGACAGCCATAATACCTTGTAGTGCTTTTTGGGGATGCACTGATCCCCTTTCTAAACTCTTGGAAAATTGAAAACATGCTGTGGTTTTACATTTATTTAAAGATAGGAGGAAGTTTTGAAGTAAATATTGAAGTCAAATGTAAAAAAAAATTTTCAAAAGAAAATCATAGTGAACTTGCTAATATCACCATAAAAGTACTTTCCAATTGATCTTTTCAATTTTTTTTAAATGCAAGTTCTTTTTTTTTTTTAAGATTTATTTCATTTTTATTGTAAAGGCAGATATATAGAGAGGAGAGACAGAGAGGAAGATCTTCCGTCCGAAGATTCACTCCCCAAGTGAGCACAACGGCCGATGCTATGCCGATCCGAAGCCAGGAGCCTCTTCTGGGTCTCCCACATGGGTGCAGGGTCCCAAGGCTTTGGGCCGTCCTTGATTGCTTTCCCAGGTCATAAGCAGGGAGCTGGATGGGAAGTGGGGCAGCCAGGATACAAATCAGTGCCCATACGGGATCCTGATTTTGTAGGCAGAAGCCCCAGTAGCTCCCTGTTTTATTTAAAAGGTAGTAAGTGGTATCATTTATGTTTCCTTTCATGTTTATGGGTTTTCTTCTTATTTTTAAAAATATTTTTATTGAGAGGCAGATAGATATAGAAAGAAGGCAATACAGAGAGGCAGATCTTCCATCTGTTGGTTCACTCCCACAAGTGGCCACATTGGCCAAAACTGAGCTGATCAGGAGCCAGGAGCTTCTTCCAGGTCTCCCACACGGGTGCAGGTTCCCTTAGGCTGTCTTCTGCTACTTTCCCAGGCCTCAGGCAGGGAGCACATGGGAAGTGGAGCAGCCAGGATTAGAACCGTCATCCATATGGGATCCTGATGCATGCAAGGTGAGGACTTTAGCCACTAGGCTACCATGCCGGCTCCCCTTCTGATTCATTTTTATTCATTTGAAAGGAATCAAAGCAGGAAAAGAAGCAGAGACAACGAGAGACCAAGGGAGAGCAAGCCTTTATTTGCTGTTTCATTTGCCACATGTTTGCATTAGCCAGACTAGAGCCAAACCAAAGCCCAGAGTTTAGAACTACATTGAGGTTTCCAACATATGTGGGTGGCAGGGACGTATCACCTGCTGCCTTTCCAGCATTGGTAGGAAGCTGGATTAGAAACAGCCTCATAGAGCTTGATCGAGCAGGCCTTTGTCAGCAACAGCCTAACCTATGCCACAGTGCCTGTCTGTCCGTTCACAAGCATGTGTCATGTGAGAACTGGAATCGGTTCCTGGTTCTTCCATTCTTCCACTTACTAGATATGTTCAGCTGTAAAACTTACCTCTCTTGAGGCTGGTATCGTGGCATTGTGAGCAAAACCGCCACCTGTGAGGTGGCATCTCATATGGGCACTGGTTTGAGACCTGGCTGCTCCACTTACGATCCAGCTCCCCACTAAAGACCTGGGAAAGCAGTGGCCCCAAGCCGTGGGATCCTGCACCCATGTGGGAGACCAGGAAGAAGCCCCTGGCTTCAGACCAGCCCAGCTGTAGCTATTGTGGCCATCTGGGGAAGTGAACCAGGAGATAGAAAATCTCTGCCTCTCTCTCTCTGCAACTTTGCCTTTAAAATGAATAAATCTATTTGAAAAATTATGAGAGAAACAAAAATAGAGAAGAAATCTCCTATGCACTTGTTTACTCCCCAAAAATCCGCCACTGCGGGCGTTGGTGGTATAGTGGTGAGCATAGCTGCCTTCCAAAAATCCACCACAGCTGCTGCTGAAGCTGGGATTGGAAAATTCAGTCCTGAACCCTGAGGTGGGTGGGTGGTATCCCAGTACTTGAGCAGTCACCATAGCTTTCCAGTGTCTGCAGGAGCCAGAGCCAAAAGGTGAGTGGCTGAACTTTCATTATCTTGTAAGTTGTAAATATTCACCTGTCTTTGGATTTCATTTGTGGTGTCTTTTGCCGTGAAGAGGTTTTATACCATTATATGTTTGTTTCTTTATGGCCTCCCTGCTTGGGTTCTAAGTAAAACTTCAAAAATGTTACCTTTTTATTTGTTTGTAAGGCAGTGAACTCCATACCCTATCCTCCAGCCCCCAGTGGGAAGCAGGGATCTTCACAAAGAGGCAGTATCACCCACTGAGGGGCCTGCTGTGGGCCTCTGGGTGGTCCAGGAATTGCTCTGGGCTTGTCTCCTCCTCCCTCTCCTGGCTTTGGCCGCCCTGCCGCTGCTGGCCCTGTGGAGTTGGGGCTGGGGAAGGTGTTCAAGGCTCAGAACAGTGTTCACACCACAAAGCTCCGCACGTGTGACTCTTATGGCTTCCCAGGCTTCCGTGGCTGTTTCCCATGTCCTTCCCATCACTCGTGGGTGCTGCCACTTCTCTGCCCTTTCTGCCCTGCCAGTTCCCTTTAGTGTCACCTCTGGGACACTGTCAGTGGACTTGCCCTTCAGGTGAGGCCTGCCTTAGTGCCCGGCACTTTCCCTTCACGGTATCCTCAAGAATTATTCAGATTTAGCAGATTTTACTCTGTCCCTCCTCTGCCCCGTCTAGCTGAAAAATAAGCTCTAGGAAAGCAGAACCTGTCTTGATGGCTTGTACCAGTAACTAGTATGACAAGAAGCTGGCATTTGATCAATACATGGGTATTACTGGTGAATTAGTGGAGTAGTTTATGTATTTTGGCTTGGGATAGAAAAGTAATTCGGGTGGGGGGCAATGTGGTGACATAGCAAGCTAAGTCTCTACCTGTGGCACCAGTATTCCATATGGGCGCCAGTTCAAGTCCTGGCAGCTCCATGTTTGATTCAGTTCTCTGCTTAAGAAATCTTAAAATCTGAAAAAAAAAAAAAACCCTTTACCTTGTTTTACAGATTAAAAAAAAATGATCTTGTGTGGTAGTCTGTGGCATCCCATAGCTGGTTTCCAGTTGGGCTGAACTGGAGACCCCATGACCTGTGACTCAGCTGAAGCTTCTCCCTTCGGGTGGCTGATGTCCTGTCAAGGCATACATTAGTATCAAAGGTGACTTTTTCTTGCAGTTGCTGTGGTTTGGTGACAGTTGGGCTTCATGTGTTGGGATTTAGTCATCGTTGTACTAAGAGAATGGAAATTTAATCTACCTGGGCATTGAATGATGGTCCCTTCGGGAAGCAGTGGGATCACATGAGGTCCTTAGGGTGGAGCTGCAAGGCTGAATCCTGGTGGCTTAAAAGCAGAGAGGGACAAGGACAACATCCTCCCTGCTTCCCACCACATGCGGTGTGTACTGCCTCAGGCTCTGCCCGCAAGTAGGCTGTTCCCAGATGTGGCCCCTATACCTTGCACCTGCAGAACCATAAATCATAGTCAGCTTCCTTTTCTTTCTATAAGAGCCTGCCTCTGGCATCTCATTATAGTAATGAAAACCAAACCACTGCAGCAGCTCGCGTTGTTTATGAGCTGTGGTGGCCAGGACTGTGTATACACTCAGAGCTTCTCAGGTCACCCTGAGAACTGTGCTGCCCAGACCTCTCCTGCTCTTCTGGTTTCCCATGCTGTCTCATCTGTCAGACAAATGTAAACATGGTATGTTTTATGTGTAAAAAAAAAAGGTGAGTAAATAAATAAATTCTGCAGCGTGAATGGATCTCAAAAATGTGCTAAGTGAGAGGAATCAAAAGATCACAAATTGTATGGTTGCATTTATGTGAAAAGTCCAGGGAACGCGAAGTCTCGAGCTGGCAAGCATGTCCGTGGGCACCAGGGCTGAGGCGTTGGTGGGCAAGACCTGCAGGCAGGTGAACGTGAGCCTGCTTCTCAGGGCTGTGGGAGTATCCTCACATGGGGTAGTTATGATGACACAGTTCTACAGAGTTTTCAAAACTTACTGAGTTGTGAACTTAGGAAGTGTTAGTGTGTGACTTACACCTAAGGAGAGCTGTTTTCTAAAAAGAGCAGATGGGCTCAGAGCTTATTTTGAGGAATTCTTTATCAGTGTGGACTGATGTAGGACTGATGAACTAAGTGTAGGCGGTACACTTAGTTCTGTGTAATATTCTAGGTGAATGAAATGGAAACTAGCTCAAGTGGCATGCTGTTTTCCTGAGGTGTATTCATAATTTTGCCAGCTAACGCCTGCCTCCCTTGGCAGCCACCAGGAATTGCAGTTTCTCTGGGTTTACAGTGTAGTGTGTGTGTGAGAATTTATTGTGATCTTTAGAGTCTTATTAGGATATTGATAATGCACTCTCAGGCTCTACACACAACATGTACGTGCACACACTTTTCCAATTAGGAAATGTGGGGTTTTTTTTTCTCTCATCTTTTTAAAAAATGTGTTTACATAGTTGAGAGGGATATACCCATGTGGGCCTCTGATTAGGGTCGGGGAGGGTCAGGTACAGAGGAGGGTGGGTGGGACAGATGTTTCCATGGGTTTTTTTCCCTCCTGTGTCGGGGAGGGTGGGAGAAGGCCATCGCCCATCTGTTGTGCTAAGGTGTTCCCCACTCAGTGCCATGTCTGTGCATCATCAGACACACTGGGCTTTAGGCTCTTCATGTGTGGGTTTTTGTTTTTTCAGCACTTGCTCTTGGATCCTCGGCTGCCCATTGAACAGACACTGGAGAGCTGCAAGTCCCGGTCTCTTGGATCATTGCAGAACCACAAGGCCTTTCCTCGGTGCCGGCAGGAGGGAGCCCATGTGCTGAGGACATGAGTGCCGAGCAGCAGCTTGATGCAGGTACTGGTTCCCTGAGCAGAGCGCAGAGCTGCGCACCTCCCCTGCCCACTGGCCCGCCCATGCGCGGCTGGCTGCCCGGTTGGCCTAGATTGGGCCCGGCTCAAGCCGGGAACCAAAACACCTCTCTGTTGTTTCTGCATAGGAGGCAGGGCTCAAGTACTTGGATCATTATCCACTACCTTCCAGAGTGTACATCAGTAGGAATCTGGGTCAGAAGTGGAACTGGGATTCAGTGTAGATGTAGGCAACTTGGTGGCAGCTTAACGTGCCACACCACAGTGCCCACCACTGATTTTTTTTTTTTAAGTTTTATTATGAACTCAAGGGTGTCTTTCTTTTTTATGACCTGCTCCCTGCCCCCCACCCCCCCCCACCCCAACAATGAACCTGGATTGCCATCACTCTTCATTATGTTCTGGGCTGGGAGGGTTGTTCTGGTGCAGTGAGCGCCTTTCAGGTGACCCTCTGTTCTCTGACTGGGCTGCTACCTCCCTTTGGTGTATTTTATTCTCGGTGTCTGATACACCGAACTCTCCATGTATCTCTGACTAAACTTGCAATCTGCAATTCTCTGAAAAAAAAAAATAAACATTTCCTATAAATTAAGTGTGCTACACAGAGGTTGCTGGCTGGCTGCTGGGGTGCTTCTTGACACTGGTTTTCATCTCCCCGAAGCACAGCTAGAAAGACAGGTTTTGAAGAGTAAAGAAAATGATGGTTCCCACTATGTTCACAACTTTAATTGAAAATTATAAGGCAGTTATTATTTTTTTTAAAATTTGGAGATGTCTTTTTACTTATTTGGAAGGTGGAATGATAGGGACAAGGAGGGTGAGGGATTGATCACTGGGTCACATCCCAGGTGGTCATGGTGGCCATGGTAAGGCCAGGCTGAAGTCAAGGATAAGGGACTCCTTTCTGGTCTCCCGTGTCTTCCCATGGCAGGGGTCCAACAAGGGGAACCTTTGTTCTGCCAAGGGCCACTTGGATATTTATGACATCTTTTGTGAGCCATGCAGAATTATCATCTTAAAAATTAGACTGCAGTAGGTTTATTGAGTTTTAAGTCCCACCTGTGGTTGTATGGAAAGTCACATGGAATGGTTTTATAGCCTGGGCGTTGCATTCTGCCCTCCCAGGAACCTAGCTGACTCAGAAGGGTAGCAACCAGGACCCAAACCATTGCTCTGATGGGTGTGTTCTTGTGGCAAGTGGGAGCTTAGCCAGCTCTGCTGCAGTGCGGCCCCGAAGTGCCTTATACTGATGTTAGTATTAGTACCTGTTTGCTTTTATGTTGTAATAACCTACAGTTGTTCCAAAATAAAAATACTAGCCCACTAGCAATAAGATAGCATGCAATCCAAAATTTCTTTAGGGTTTTTGCCTTTAAATGTATTCCACTGTGGCTTTGTAGATGTAATATCCTTAATGAAATTGTATTTGGTCTTAAATGAAATTGTATTTTCTGTGTGGTTTTGCCACCAGTAGTTAGGTTCATTTGTTTTTATTCATGTGTGACTTTTGGAATTCTTTTCTTTTTATTTAACTATGTTTTTGAGTTGTTTGAGATATCTGCATACTTCCAAAGTTAAAATTATATAACGAGAGGCCCACTGTCACCTTGATACTATTTGTGCTTTTTTCTTCTCTGTATACATGATGATTTTTTTACTTTTCAACGAATTCTTCTGTTCATTAAAAAAATAATAAAATGTGTGTACACATGTAGCCCTATCTCTTCCATCTTACACAAAAATAGATACATAACCCCAACACACATTGACACTGAAACCCCCAAACACACACTCACATCCCAAACACACACACGCACTAACACACATACCCCAAACACACACACACACACTTGCACTGACACACATACTCACACTCCTGCGTGCTCTGCATTGCAGCTTTGCTTAGTTTGGAGAGCACTCCACGTCAGGCTACAGAAAAAGCTTTTGCTGCTTTTTAGGGCTATACAGTCCTGAATATATATGCACTATATTTATCTAGTCAGTTCATCCTTGATAGACACTTAGGTTATTTCCAGTCTTGGTGTTACAAATAGTGCTGCAATGAACAGCTTTGCACATATGTCTCTTTGCATTTTTGCCAGCATACGTTTGGGAAAGATTCCTAGAAGTAGGATTGTTGGGTAAAAAGATGAATAGATATGTAATTTTGCAACATGTTGTCAGATTTTCTTCTGTAGGGATTGTGTCATGGTTTACCTGCTTAACTACAGTTTCACTGTAAAATTTACTGTCAAGCTTTGGAATTTTTCCCAATGTGATATCTTGGTATGGCTTTTATTTTTGCTTATTTGAGAGCTTTCCCTCATCTACTAGTCCAGTTCCCAAATATTTGCAGCCTCTAGGGCTGGAGGGTTGAAGCTAGAAGCTGGGAACTCAGTCTAGGTGTCCCATGTTGGTTGCAGGAAACCAACTCCCTGACCCATCACCTGCCTTCCCCGCAGAATCTGTACTGGGAGCTGGAGCTTGGTCTCCAACCAAGCCACCGGCATGTGAACACCCTCATCACCAGCTCAGGTACTGTCCCTGAAAGTGAGAAAAGTGGCACATCTCTTCATATGCTTAAGAACTATTTACATTTATTTGTGATAAACTTTTTTAATATGTGTACTTTGCTCATTTCTCCATTACATCATCAGTCTAATTTCTTCCCAGCATTCCTGATATCTGGGGTGTGGGCTTCGTAAATGGCAGCTGGACTTACTGTACTGCTTCCATCCCACTGGTTTTAATGGGCAGTTTAGTGGCATTGAATTAATTTGCAATGTGTATAACTATCACTAGACTTTTTTTCTGAAAGGCAGAGTTACAGAGAGAGAAGGAGAGACAGAGAAGCCTTCCATACACTGGTTTCCAGATGGCCCGAATGGCTTGAGCTGAGCTGAGTTGATCCATAGCTGGGAGCCAGGAGCTGCTTATGAGTCTCGCACATGGGTATAGGGTCTCAAGGACTTGAGCCATTCTTTGTTGCTTTTCCAGTTCATAATCAGAGAACTGAATCAGAAGTAGAGCAGCCAGAACACAAACTAGCACCCATAATGGGATGCTGGTACTAGTAGGTGGAACACTAGCCCGCTATGTTGCCATGCCAGCCCCAGTCATCAGAGCTTTGTTCATCTAGCAAATCTGAAACTGTTCCCATCAAGAAAGACTTTCCATTTCCCTCCTGAACCCCTGGTAACCACCACTCCATACTTTTATCTCTGACTTGGGCTGCCTGGTCACCTCATCTGAGTGGGATTATCAGCATCTGCCTTGGGGCTGGGTTTGTTTCACTTTCAGTCTGGTCAGGGGTTGTCTGTGTCACAGCCTGGGCCAGAATGTCCAGTGTATGTATACACTGTGTTTTGTTTTTCCATTCACCTCTCTATGGACACTTGGGGGTCTGCTGCCTTTGTTGGATGCTGTGAACATTGCTACTGTGACAATATGTAAACCAGGGTTTGCATCGCTGTTCTTAATTCTCCTGGGCTCAGGAATGGAATTACTGGGGTGCATGCTAACTGAGGCTCACTTGAGTTGCTTTCTGATTGGCTGCACCATTTTATATTTCCCACAGTGCATGAGGGACTGTTGTCCCCTTCCTCACCACACTAGCTGTTTTCTGTTATGTAGAATAGCTTGTCATTGCTAGGGTGAAATACCTGAGACATTGGCTTTGTGAAGATGAAGGTTGGTTTAGCTCCTGTCTTTGGAGATTCATTGGTTTGGCCTCTATTAAGGGTGGTGGGAGGCAGTCACATAACACTTGGAAGAAAGAGTCCCATGAGAAGCTAAGAGGCAGAGAGGGGAACTGGGCCTGGTGTCAGATTATTTAGTTATTTATGCATTTATTAAGTTAAATTTTATATAATTTATAAATAATTTTATATTTATCTTATTTATTTCAAAGGCAGAGTTACAAGGAGAGATAGGAGAGGTCTTCTTCCCCTAGTTCACTCCCCAAATGCTGCCACCACTGGGGCTGAGCTAGCCCAATGCCAGGAGCCAAGAACAAGAGTGCAGGGGACTAAGCACTTGGGCCATCTTCCATTGCTTTCCCAGGTGCATTATCAGGGAGCTGGGATAGAAGTGGAGCACTTGGACTCCAACTAGCACACATATGGAATGGCAGCACGGCAGTCAGTGGTTTAATGTGCTGTGCCACAGCACCTGCCTGGAATGTTTATTTATGTGAAAAGCAGAGTGACAGCCAGAGATGAAGAGAGGGAAGGAGGAAGAGTGGGTGGAGAAAAATCTTTCATTTGTTGCTTCATTTCCCAAAAATGGCCACAATTTGGCTGACCCTGGCTGGAGCCAAAAACTCCATCAGGTTCTCCCTTAGGGGTCGCAAGAACTCAGGCATTTGGGCCATCTGCTGCTGCTTCTTAGACTCATTACCATGGAGTTGGACCAGAAGCAGAATAGCTGGGACTTGAACCAGCACTCCCTTCTGGGACTCCAGTGTTCCAGGAGGCAGCTTAACTCACTGCTCCACAAAGTCTGTTTTATGCATTTCCTTTTTAGAAAAAGTAGTGGTACAGTGTACACCTCATTACTGCCCCTCTGGTTATGTTGATTTTTCTCCATCCGCAAAGGTACTGATGAAGTTGATCTATGTTCTTCCCATTCTTGTTTTTCTACTCTCTGAATAAGCATATCTTCATAAACATAGTTCTGCAAGTTTTGTTTTGAAGGCTGAATGATTTCTAGCTGTGCTCTTCTTCTACCCTGGCTTTTCTCCTTGATGTGTGCTTTAGAGATTTATCAGAAGTCTGTATTTGCTTGGGCATTTCAGTTGCTACATAGTAGTGTTTCATTGAGGAACTGGTGATTTATTCTGCTGATGCTTCCAGTCATCAGAGTAGCGTGGCGAGCATCCTTCTAATTGCTAACTTATTTTTCCACGGGGTCAGGGTTCCCCTAGCATGTAAGCGTAGCACATGTTCTGGACAGTGGAATATTACTGAACGACCACAGCCACTGCCCCTGTTCTTAAGAAGCTTACAGGAAGTGGGAGCATAGGAGATTATATGGTATTTGAATCTTTGTTCACTCAACAGGTCTTTGTTGAGTGGCTGCTATTTATTGGGTATTTTAGAATCTAGTGATAGATACAGTAGTGGTCAAAACAAAATTCCAATGTATGTGTAGCTTCTAGTCTAGTAGGGAAAGTGACAAGACTAATGGGAATTCTTCGAATGTGGACGCAGAGTGGTGGCAGTGGGGTGTCATTGGATGCAGAGGGGTGGAATGGTGATGTCATTGGATGCATAGGAGAAGCACTGGGGTGTCGTGTATGAAGCTGCTGCCTGTAGTGCTGGTCATCCCATATTGACACCTGTTTGAGTCCTGGCTGCTCCACTTCATACAGTTCCACGCTGTTATGCCTGGGAAAGCAACAGAAAATGTCCCAAATGCTTGGGGTCCTTTCATCTGTGTAGGAGTCCTGGAAGAAGCTCCTGGCTTCAGCCTGGCCTAGCTGGGTATGCTGTGGTCCTTTGGGGAGTGAGCCAGCAGAAATTACTTCCCTTCCCTTCTCCCTCTTTTTTTTTTTTTTTCTTCCTCTCTTTCTCCTCCTCTTTCTCCCTCTTTCAAAATATATCTTAAAAATTGGGAGCAGAGCCCTCATGCAGTGGCGCTGCTGCAGGGCTTTTTGAAAGTTGTGGTGTTTGGTTCCTGATAGAACAAAGCAAAGCTGCAGTCCACACTGGGGCTGGCTTTGAGCTGAGGGAACGGGAGTGTAGAGGTCTGGGGGAAAGAGCTGCAGGAAGGGGTGAAGGAAAAGGGGAAGTAGGTGGGAGCAGAGAGGGTAAAGCCGTTGGAGTGTCCCAGGCTTTGAGTTTTAATGAAATATAATTGAAAGTTGATTGATAATGTGATTAGGCCTTGAAGTAGTCAGAGATAGAGTGGAAGGTGATTAGATTTGGGGTGTGTGTGTATACATACATACACATGCATATGTGTGTGTGTGTGTGTGTGTATGTGTGTTTTAAAGATGTACTTGCTTGCTTAAAAGTCCTAAGGAATTACGGAGAGGTACCTTCCATCCTGGTTCATTCCCTAAGTGGACACAATGTCTAGAGCTGGGCCAGTCTGAAGCAGGGAGCCAAGTGCTTCTTCCCCATCTCCCAACCCAAGGCCTGGGGCCAACAACTTCTGCTTTCCCAGGCACCTTAGCAAGGAGCTGAATCTAAAGTGCAGCTGCTGGGACTCGAACCAGCACCATATGGGGTGCTGGTGCGGAGATTTTACTTACTATATCACAGCACCTGTTCCTGGGTATATATTTTAAGACAGTACCTACAGATTTTTTTTTTCCTAGATTGGACATAAGGCGTGAAAGAAAACGAGAGAAGCAAGGATAACTTGGTATTTTTGTATTGAGCGAAGATATTGGCTAGCAACAACTTTCTCAGTTGGAGAGTACTAAGAATGAATCGGGTTGAAATTTTTTTCAGATGTCTAGTAAGTGTCTCAAATGTTTAGAATTGGAAACTAGATTGCAGTTCAAAAGGATTGCAATTGTTTACACTCTCATGGGTTTCAGAAACTTCCAGCTCTGGTGTCTGCCCCCAAGAGAAGGTATGTGTACCTGCTGTCCAGTTGAGATTACTTCATCGTCACTGCACTAGGGGAACCCACCATTCCCACAGCACCTTCATATTAAAGCAGATTCTGTAAGGGATGCTTGCCAATTGTGTGTTGTCATCGTTTGTGTTTCCTTGCGTTGAAATTCACCTGTTCTTCTGTCTGCTTTGCAGATGGTGGCTCTGGTATGGAAGAAGTGGAGTTAAGCTGGGAAGATTACCTGGAAGAGACAGGCTCCACAGCTGTTCCCTACGGGTCCTTTAAACATGTGAGTATCCTTGGCATTACTGCACTCAACATAAAAGAATTCCATTCTTTAAGCTGGAGCACTTAAAAAAATTGCTATTTCCCCTTCCTTCCTCTTGTCCTCCACCTCCATAGAAAGTCATGGATTCTGAGAGTTATGTTTAGTGTATATTTGGCTACTTTGATTTCGTTTTTTTTTTTTTCCCCCATTTTCAAACATTTCTTTATTTTTGCCAAAAACCACATAAATTGTTCATATGTGCTTTATTGCATTTTATTCTCATTGGTTTGCTTCTTGAAAGTCATTTCAGTCGTGTCCTTTCCCTCCTGTTGAGCAGGAACAAGGCTGTGTTAGAATTGCATGTCAATGGCTTGTGCAGCCCGATTTGGGGCTCTGACAGTCCAGTTTAATGCTTTTCTAATGGGCAACTGTTTGTGATACATAATAACTTTAGAATGTAAGAAAATGCCCCAAATTTTATTAATTAAAGCTGAGACTAGGCTGCGAGGATGGCTCATGGTGAAGGCTCCCTTGTTTACTCATTGATGGCTGCTGCCTGGCTGTGACCTCACATAGAGAGAGCCTGGGTCAGAATGGAGAGAGAGAATATACCTGTTGGTATCCCTTTTAGGATATCAATTACATTGGTTCTCGGCTCTGTCCTGTGACCCTTGGTCAGCCCAATTACCTCCACTTTGTTGTGATTTTGTTGTTGTTGTTGTTGTTCTCTTAAAGTGTTCTTAAAACCAAATTGCCAGTGTGAGGAAAGGGTAGGGAGGTATGAGGGTCAGTGGGGTGCCCTTTCACAAGATGCCTGAGGGAACTCCTTCCCTGTCTTTAAGTGGGGCATGGGCCCTCCCTGGCACAGGATCTGTTGGTGCCTTGGGGTTGGATCCCCCAGATTCCAGCTTGTAAGCAGCGGATTTATGTTGCTTATGAATTACCCAGTCTCAGGTGATTTGTGAGAGTGGCCTGAGGGACTACAGGGGACCTGTGTGCAGGTGCAGTCATGTGAGCTTAGAGTTGGTGCACGTGGATTGTGGAGTGACACAAGTTAGTCCCAGCAGTATCTGTTAGGGCTTCTTTCTTTGGCTCTAGGACTGATGGAGACACTAATGCTTACCCATTAGCTGGCGAGGCACATTAAGAAGACAGAGGGAACCTGGTCAAGAGTCAAAGTGATCGCTAGAGTCAGAGTCCCATGACCCCAGAGTTGGAACTTGAAAGAGTTGGCTTTGTCATGCCATCTGCAGGCTTGGCATAGCTGAGGAAAGGGTCTGGTGATTTAGAGAGAAATTGCTTAGATCGAGACATGGAGAGAAAACAAGATCAGGTCACACAGCAGATGTTGAGATAATAGGGAAAAAAGTGTGTAATGTAATTGGAACTGCAACAGAGGAAAGAAGTGTAAGGAAGAGACCTTTGGAGAGGGAACAGCAGAAAGCTTTCCAAAGGCGGGAGAGATGCTATAGATCCAAGAAACTCAGGGAATGCATATCAGAATAAATGCTAGGGCCAGGTGCGATGGCTCAATGGCTAAATCCTTACCTTACAAACACCAGGGTCCATGTGTGCACCAGTTCATGTCCCAGCTGCTCTACTTCCCATCCAACTCCCTGCTTATGGTCTAGAAAAGCAGTGGAAGCCATTTGGAGAGTGAACCAGCAGATGGAAGATCTTTCTCTCTGTCTCTCCTTCTCTCTGTAAATCTGATCTGTAATTTCCAATAAAAATAAGTGATTCTTAAAAAAAAAATAAATGCTAAGCAAATTCCTGCCCCACACAACATAGTCCAACCAGTGAAAAGCAGAGAAAGACAATACTAAATGTCAGTAGAGAAACAGGGACATTTCCAGAGGATACAAGGTCAGTATTACAGCAAAACAGTTTTCACAAGGTATGTGACCAAAATACAGTGGAGTAAAATCTTTAAAGTATTGAAAGAGAAAAACTATCAACCCAGAATTTTATTCTTGGCAATGGTTTTACCCAAAAGCAAAAGAGAAAGAAAGATTAAAAATTGGGGGAATTCTGGAATAGCCATTTGAGCTAGTAGTTAAGAAGCTGATGTCCCTCTAATCAGTGCCCAGCTCCAGCTCTTCATGTTGGCTTCCTGCCTTGGCAGGTCCTAGCAGGCAGTGGCCATGACTCAGGTGCCTGGGTTTTATCATTCTTGTGTGGCACCTGGTTGAGTTTGCATCTCCTGGTTTTGGCTTTACCCAGGATCCACCTGTGGGTGGTCGGGGTAGATGGGAGCTGTCTCTCTGACCGTTGAATTAACTTAAAAGATTTTTTCAAAAGAAAAAATTATTACCAGGTGGTCTGCAATAAAAATTAAAGGAATGTGGATCCACACAAAGAAAAAAATGATGGGAAATGGCACAAATATAAATAGATGTAAAATTTAATGTATATTAATTTAAACATTTGTAAAATATTTTTAGAAGCAAAAATAATGGATGTATATTGTATGGTTTAAACTGTAATAACATAAACGTGGGATGAGGATTGGAGAGTATATGGTTCTAAGAGCTTTATGCAGCATGTGAATTGGTTAAAAAAAATTTTTTTTTATAAATACACTACATTTAATGAAGTCTGAATATTGAAACCCCCCTAGCAATGACTAAGTTAAAATTATACATATTTTGTTAAAAACCATCCATTCACTGTGTTAGTCATTTCTGAGTGTCTAGTATGTGCACAATGGTGTGCAGGGGTCAGCAGGATTTTTTTTTTCATCCACTTCAGCAGGACCGTGTTTTTCTGTCCTGCTGAATGACAACTCCCAGCCCCGCCCCATTCTGTTTTCTGCACCCTTCACGTGAGTGGGTTCACAGGATAACCTCCTCTTTTCCACTCATTGCACCCAGCAGAGACTGCTGGGCAGGATGCTGCTGGAGTACTGCCATCGCATCACACCCATTTTTGAAATTTATTTTGTGCTTGCCCTTGGGTTTGCAGCATCCATTTATGACTAACCCGGTGCCTTGTTACTCACAAAATACCCGTGTCCTTTGTTGTGTGCGTGGGAAGTAGTTCCAGGATCGCCAGCCAGCGCCTCTGTGGCCTTGTGAGTGGCCACCTGAGTTGGCACATATTGAAAGAAGAAAGTGGCACAGTATTGACTGTCACCTGAGTCTGTGGGTGGGAACCAGGGCAGCGTGGCTCCACCTTGAGCATCCCTGCAGTTGCCACCTGCCCTTTCCCTTTTGGGGTTTTGAGGGTGGTCTGTTGGCTGATCCAGAAGTTGTTTGTGGAAACAGCATGCTTAGGCTGTTGGCGTGGTGACTAGTTAGCTGAAGGCTTCACAGAAAGCATTTTTTATGGCCATGTAAGACTGCCTTGATGAGCTGCCACTCTTCCTGCGTGGGCATAGTGAACAGTTCTGCTGTTGCTCTGTTCCATGTACTCCCGGGGGGTTAGAGTTACAATGTCCCAGGGCTTTGCCTCACTGGGGCTTTGTTTCATTTAGTGCTTCAGGATTCTAAGTGTCCAAACATATGGAGCAATGAGGTGTTCCTGTCAGATGCTTATCCTGGCCTTTGCAGGTGGACACGCGCCTGCAGAACGGGTTCGCTCCAGGCATGAAGCTGGAGGTGGCTGTGCGCACGGACCCTGAAGCCTACTGGGTGGCCACGGTCATCACCACCTGTGAACAGCTGCTCCTCCTGCGTTATGATGGCTATGGCGAGGACCGGCGGGCTGACTTCTGGTGTGACATCAGGAAGGCCGGCCTCTACCCCATCGGCTGGTGCGAGCAGAACAAGAAGCCTCTTGAAGCGCCGGAAGGTAAGGAGGTGCTGTGACGAAGGTGCAGGGTGGCCTTGCCCACAGTCTCTCAGGTCTGTGGTTTCCTCTGATCAATGCTTGCATGAAGTTATTAGTAAGTTATTGCCATGCCACAGTGCACACGGGGTTCCCTTATGAGACTATTGTTAACATGCTCCAGGGAATGTCAGGTGCTCAGCTTTTAACCTGGGAGGCTCTCTGAGTTTGGGACTTGCAGGCTTGTGGTTTCATGAGCTTTGGGCCAGTCTGGTAGGCTGTGGGTCCTTTCTGTGGTTACCATGCTCTCTGTGACCCACAGTCTAGGGGCTGGAGCCCTAACAATGAGCTGCTGGAAGTCACTGCAGGAGGGAACTCTGCTCGCAGGAGAATCCCAAGAAACAGTAGAGACAGTGAAGGTGAGGGCGGCAGAGGGGCTGTAGAGGTTGGAAACAACAGGCTTTTTATGTTTTTCTTTTAACTTCATGTTTTGGTACTGTTTCATTTTCACAGAAAAGTTGCAAAACTAGTATAGGAAAATTTTGGATGCTCCTTGCCAAGTTTCTTTCCCCAAACATCAGCATCTTACAACACTTGCATTATCTGTTTCCATGTGTACCTTTTTTCTTCTGTTTTGTTATTTCAAAATTTTATTGCTGTTCTTTCCTACATATCTTTTTTTATCCTTTATCTAGAGGGGATAGAGAAACTTTTTGTCTCCTAGTTCATTCCCCAAATGGCTGGGGTGGGCCAGGCTGAAGTCAGGAGCTTCATCCAGGCATCTCATGTGGATGGAAGGGTCCCAAGCACTTGGGCTGCCATCTGCTCCTTTCCCAGGTGCTTTAGCAGGGAGCTGCATCATCAGGAGTGGAACAAGCAAGACTAGAACTTACACTCCAATATCTGATTTGCAATTGGTAGCTTAATTTGCCATGCCACAATGCCAGCCCCCTGAATACCTTTTAAATGAATCATATGAAAGTCAGTTTTAGCCATGATACCCTTTTACTTACAAATACTGTTGGGTATCTCTTGAGAATAAGACATTCATGAACATTGTAAGATACTAAAATCAGGAACTTAACTTTGGCACGATACTGTTATTTAATCTAAGGCTGCATCCCAGGGCATGCGCTGGCATCAGTCTCCTTTGGGACAGTTCCCTTGGCTTTCTTGGTCTTCTATGTCTGAGTTTGGAAGGTCCAGGCCAGTCCCCGCAGTGCTGTTCCTTATGCTCACTTTCTTTTCCTAGTCTGGGATCCAATCCAGGATCACATTACATTTAGCTGTCATATCTCTTCAGTATTTTAAATCTTTTTTTTTTTTTGTAAGCTAAAAAACTGTTTTCATGACAAGGAGGCACACCCCCCTGAGAGTACATGTGTGTGTATGTATGTATGTGTCTCTGGTTTGTTGGTTCATTCCCCAAATGACCAGCAGCAGCCAGGGCCACCAAGCCAAAGCCAGGAGCCAGACACTCAGTGTCAGTCTCCCCGCCAGTGCAGCAGCAGTGACCTGAACATCCCAGTTCTGATGTATAAATAACTTCTTACTAAAACACAGTGGGCCCCCTTGGAAGGTAAAATTCCTGAACTGGGGCAGGAAGTGTCCACGATGAGGCTGAACCACCTCATACCGCAGAGCAAACAAATGCCCTTCTCCCTTACTGGTGTCACGTCCCGAAGGCGAAGGGCCAACCTAGAGAGACCCACTCTACATAGAACTGGACAGTTTGAATGTCTGTAATTTATTTTTCTAATAATCTTTAAAGTATGTTATTTATTTTATATATTTGAAATGCCAAGAAGCATAAAGATCCATCTCTCATCTGCTAGCTCACTCCCCAAATATCTGTAAGTCAGCCAGGTCAAGGCCGATTGAAACCAGAAGCCAGGCGCTTAATCCGGGTCTCACATGTGGGTGATAGGAACGCAGTTATCTGAGCCTTCACCTGCTGCCTCCCGGGGTTCTCACTGGCAGGTGCTTTGATAGCAGGTGCAGGTATCTCAGCAGAGACTTAGCCACTTGGCCTGAGCTGCCGAGGCAAGTCCACGTGGTGTGTAGTCTGTTACACCCTCGCCTACTGGAACCAGGTGCACCGGGAGGGAGGCAGTGGTTGGAACTGGATCCGTTATACTAGTTTTTCTCTTTTCCAAGTATGTTTTAGTTTGGGGTGCATCTGATGGTGCACAAACTGGAAAACAGCTCTGTCCTGAGAAGGGCATTTTTATTTTGTCTTTTCAAGCTCGCAGAAAAGCTCTTAGTCCCTCCCATGGCACACGCGCCTTCACAGCATGGCCACTGGCTCACTGTCTCTGTCCTGTGGCTGACATTGGTTTAACCATCCTGTATTCTCTCCCCCATGTAGGTATCAGGGACAAAGTGTCGGACTGGGCCGAGTTTCTGCGGCAGACCCTGACAGATGCATGCAGCCCCCCTGTTCCACTGCTAGAGGGCGTGAGTATCTCCTCTCCGAGGAAGCCCTGCTGCTCCTCCAAGGCAATCTGAAGTTGCTGACTTACTAGTTGGGAAGCAAATGAGTGATGCAGATTACCAGATTACCAGAGATGCAGGCATTGGGAGGTTTAGGCTTACCCCGAGAGCATCCAGACTGATGGCTTGCTCAGGACTTGACTCTTGTCTGAGCTGGTTGAGAGCCCTTCAGAATCCTGCTTTCCAGGTTCTCACGCAGGTTGGGAAAGTGAATGTCTAGGGGCCGTTCCTCTGGAACTGCTGCATCTGGGTGGACGTTTGTGACTCCCCGTGGCTGACTGGAGACCTTGTGCTGTGAAGATGTGGCCCCTGCCCCACTCACAGCCGTGAGTGTGCCACTCCTGAGCTCTTGAGTGAACCTGCACATCTGGATTTTGTGGAACAAATGTGATGGTTTTGACATTTCCTGCAACTTTCTCTCACACCAGTAGTAGGCTCATGGTGTGTGTGAGGCATGGCATGTGAGTGTTCCATTTCTCTGTGTCCTTGTCAGCACCTGTTCTCTTTGTGGTCATTGCTGTCCTGGTGGGTGTGAGGTGGTACTCATTCTGATTTGAACTTTCCCAATGACTCACAGTGTTGAGCATCTTTTTATGTGCTTTCTGCCCGTTCGTGTCTATTGTTGAAAGAAATACTTTTGCCCTCTCCTTTTTTTTTTTCTGTAAGTTTATTTATTTATTTGAAAGACAGAATGACAAGAGATGGAGAGAGAAATTGACTGATCTTCCATCCGCTGGTTTATTCTCCAGAAGGCTGCAAAGGCCAGGGCTGAGCCAGGCTAGAGCCAGGAGTTCCACACTTGATCTTAGCCAAGAGGCTGTGAAGCGATGGAGCCGGGAGTTCCATGCAGGTCTTCTGTGTGGGTGGCAGGGGCCCCAGTACTGGGGCCATCCTCCACTGCTTTACCAGGTGTATGCATACGGAGCTGGACCAGAAGCAGAGTGGCTGCTCTCACAAAGCGGTACTCATGCTCTAATATGGGATGCCAGCATCACGTGGCATCACAGTGTTCATCCTGCTTTGGCTCATCTTGTTAAGCTTTCTGCAGATCAGATGTAGGAGTTGTAAATATTTTCTCTTTATTCTGTGGGTTGTCTTCTTATAATTTAAAAAAAAAATTTTTTTTTTTTATTACAAAGTCAGATCTACAGAGAGGAGGAGAGATAAAGACAAAGATCTTCCGTCCGATGATTCACTCCCACGCGGGTGCAGGTCCCAAAGCCCTGGGCCGTCCTCAACCGCCTTCACAAGCCACAGGCAGGGAGCTGGATGGGAAGCGGGGCTGCCGGGATTAGAACTGGTGCCGGTATGGGATCCCAGGGTGTTCAAGGCGAGGACTTTAGCCGCTAGGCCACGTCGCCAGGCCCCTACTTATAATTTGTAGCATAAAGATTTTTCCTTTTTTTGAGATAGTCCAGTTTATCTGTTTCTTTTCTTTCAACGTTCATGTTTTTAATGTTACATGATAGAAGGCTTTACCTAAAAACCCTCAAAATATGTACAAGTTGAGACTGGATTGACATGAGGTGGCAGTTCTTCATCCCTTGGTACTGGGATGTCTGGAAAGTCGAGTGTGGCTTCCTTCTTTGCTTCTGTCCTTCCCCTAGAAACAAGAAAAAAAGGCAAAATTGGAGACAACGAGTTCCCCCAATTTTCCCTAAACCTCGATCCTTCCCACCCTGATCAACCATGTAATCATTATAAAAAATTTTAAAAAAAAGAAGACTTTGCCTAACCAGCGGAAATGGCTGAGCTCCTGTTTTCTCATAAGAGCTTTGTGGTTTTTGCTCTTCTGTTTAGTTATCTAATCGGTTCACATTCCTTTTAAGTCTTGATAGGTGACTATTTTAAACTGTTCTTTAATATCCCGATGGTTTCAGAATGCCTGGTTGAGGGCTAGAACGTGACAGGCACTCAGCTTAGCGTGAATGAACGAGGTCATGAGCGAATGAATGACCTTCGCTCTGCCACGGTAGCCTTGAGCGGGGCCTGGGCCTCGGCTCGCTCAGGTGGGGTCTTGCATGTCTGGGCAGTTGTTACTAAGGAAAAACATGTCAGCTGGAGTCCTGAGAGATGACCCAGTGATAGTAGCTGTGGAGTGGGTGTTCCTTTTTTATTCTGTGCTGTGGTCTTTAATGCACAGCTAGACAATGAGAGTAAAAATTTTTCATCAGTGTAGCCGGAAGTTCCTACTGTATTCATCAGAACATTATTGTGAAATGAATTAAAAAAAAAATCTGAAACCACTGAAATGCCAGCAGGAGGTGCTCGGGGAAATAAATGATTTCCCATTTTCAGTCCAGGATGTCATGAGACAGCTTACAAGGTGAGGAGTATTTCTATCTTCTGCAATAGAAAGAGATCCATTATATGTGAAGTGAAAAATAGTAGACAGCGTTCCCAGTTTCCATGAAATGGGAGAGAAACAGCCCAGCAGAGGGGACGTAGAGCTGGGGAGAAGGGCGCATTCCCGAGTGCTTCTTGGATTCTTGGAGGGGGTGGGAAGCAGGAACGTTGACTTCTGTCATGTTGAGCTTTTATTCTTTGGTGATGATCCTATTTCCTTTTAGAATCAGAGGTAAAGGAATGATGAAATTTTAACCTTTCTTGCCAAATGGAGCGAAATTAGTCCTGGTGATTAAAAGCTAGTAGAGTGAGCCCAGCAGCATGGCCTAGCAGCTAAAGTCCTTGCCTTGAACACACGCGGGGATCTCATATTGACTCTGGTTCTGATCCTCGTGGCTCTGCTTCCCATCCAGCTCCCTATTTGTGGCCTGGGAAAGCAGTCCAAGACAGCCCAAAGCCTTGGGACTCTGCACCCACGTGGGAGACCCGGAAAGAAGTTCCTGGCTCCTGGCTCTGGATCGGCGCAGCACCGACTATTGCATTCACTTGGGGAGTGAATCATCGGATGGAAGATCTTTGTCTCTCCTCCTCTCTGTATATCTGACTTTCAAATAAAATAAATCTTAAAAAAAAAAAAAAAGCTAGTAGGGTGATTCGATTGCATTATAATTATATTTTTTGGCAAGATAAACATTTTTTAAGGAAGAGAGAGAGAGGAAGATCTTCTGTCCACTGATTCACTCCCAAAGTGACCACAATGGCTGGAGCTGCACTAATTTAAAGCCAGGAGCCCAGAGCCTCTGCTGGGTTTCCTGCGCAGGTGCAGGGTCACAAGGCTTTGGGCTGTCCTCGACTGCTTTCGCAGGTCACAAGCAGGGAGATAGATAGGAAACGGGGCCACCAGGATTAGAACCGGTATCCATATGGGATCCTGGCGCATGCAAGGCTACTGCACCAGGCCCTGTCACTGATTTTTGAAAGTTGTGTTTGAGAACATCTAGTATTTTTAAAAAAAAAACTATCATGTTGACTTCTCTCATTTAACCCTTGTTCTGTTTCCACCTCCAGCTCCGTAATGGAAGGAACCCATTAGACCTCATTGCCCCTGGGTCCAGGCTGGAGTGCCAGGCTTCCCGTGACACCCTCAGTGCCTGGATTGTGACCGTTGTCGAGAACATTGGTGGGCGGCTGAGGCTGTGCTACGAGGGCCTGCAGAGCTCTGACAGTCTGGAGCTTTGGCTGTATTACCTGGACCCGTTTCTTCATCACGTCGGCTGGGCTGCGCAGCAGGGATATGAGCTTCAGCCCCCTTTAGGTGGTGATTAATGTTTTTCTTCAGCTATTGCATCAGTGTTATTTTGTTATTAGCATCTGTAAAGCTGAGAAATGTATTATTCTCAATATTCTGGAAGCTTTTTCTAGCTCGTGTAATATATTATGAATAGTATATACGCAGTTGTTAAGTTCATATTTTTCCTTTGGTTTTATTGCTTTTGTTATTTTTTTTTAAGATTTATTTATTTTATTGTGAAGGTAGATGTACAGAGAGGAGGAGAGACAGAGAGGAAGATCTTCCATCTAATGATTCACTTCCCTAGTGGCCGCAATAGCAGGAGCTGCGCCGATCCAGAGCCAGCAGCAGGAACTTCTTTCCGGGTCTCCCATATGGGTACAGGGTCCCAAGGCTTTGGGCTGTCCTGGACTGCTTTCCCAGGCCACAAGCAGGGAGCTAAAGGGAAGTGGAGCTGCCAGGATTAGAACCGGCGCCCATATGGGATCCTGGCATGTTCAGGGTGAGGGCCTTAAGCACTATGCTATCGCACTGGGCCCGCTCTTGTCATTTTTTAAAAACAGATTTATTTGTTTTTCTTGGAAGGGCAAATTTTACAGAGAAGGAAAGACAGAGAAAGATCTTCCATCTTCTGGTTCAATCCCCAACTGGCCGTAATGGTCAGAGTTGAGCTAAACCAAAGCCAGGAGCTTCTTCTTCTGGGTCTCCTACTGGGTATGAGGTTTTGTGACATTCTTAACAACCACTTTCCCAGGCCACAAGCAGGGAGCTGGAAGGGAAGTGGAGCAGCTGGACACTAACTGGTGCCCACATGGGATCCTGGTATTTGCAAGGAGATTTAGCCACTGAGCCATTGTGCCAAGCTCTGCCTCTGTAATTTGCCACACACACTGATATACTTCAAAATCTTGGGCCCAAGCCTCTACTGACCTCTTCCCAAAACACAGAAAAAAGTTCTGTAGGTGGCTTCCATATGGATGTTTGCAGCAAATTGGATTCACAGCCACTTGTTGATTTGAAAAAACTCCCAGTAGTATTAAACCTGGTGTTACTGTTAAACACAATTTGCATTCAGGATGATTTGTACCCACATAGGGATATTATGGTGTCATAGGAACTGTACTAGTGATCCTTGCCAGGAATTTCACAAAGTTGACTATCCAGTACTGAGGATAAGACACAAACTCTGAGTGCAGATGTGACACGTGTAGGCATGAGCCATTTCCTGTTTGCGGTGGGACTGTGTGAGTGTGGTGGCTGTGTTAATGAAGAAGCTTAGGTTTTCTCATCATCTAAAGTTCGCCCTCTTGTCCTACTGAAGCCATCAGACATTTGAAAAATGAAGATGAATGGCATGATATTTTGGCCAAAGTGAAAGAGGAGGAAGAAGAGCCATTGCCGTCTTACTTGTTTAAGGTAAAGAATGGAAGCATGGGATTGGTCAGTCTTTCTCTCCTGGTTGAGTAGACATATAGGAAGGCAAAATGAACGCAAAGCCCTGGAGTGGAGGGGAGTTGTCCTGGCTGTGCTTTTCTTTTTCTTTTTTTTTTAGATTTATCTGTTTTTATTTGAAAGGCAGATTTACAAAAAGAAGGAGAGAGAGAAAAGGTCTTTCATCCACTGGTTCATTCCCCAAATAGCTGTAATGGCCAGAGCTGAGCTGATCTGAAGCCAGAGGCAGCAGGTTTTTCCAGATTGCCATGTAGATGCAGGTGCCCAAGTCTTCCTACCTTCAGTAGGAAGGTAAATTGGAAGTGGAGCAGCTGGGACTTGAACTGCACCCATATGGGATACCACTGCCATAGATAGAAGCTTAGCTAACTATGCCATGGGCCTGGCCTCTGAACCTTTTTTCTGATTTGGGGATCCTAATACAAAATAAATTTATTTTTCCTCCAAATGTCTCATGTTCTGAATGCAGAATAAATCGTAGGACTACATTTGATGTTTTGTTTTTCCCTTTCCAGGGAAGAGAAGTTATAGCATTTACCAGCAGCTGTCTGGATCCAGTGTTTAGTGCACTTAGGGTATGAGTGACTATAAACTTAATACAAAATACCCCTTTCTTTTGCTGTTTGCATTTTAGGACAAACAGATTATTGGCATTCACACGTTCTCTGTAAATATGAAGTTGGAAGCTGTGGACCCCTGGGCTCCTTTTGGGATCTCCCCAGCTACAGTTGTGAAGGTGAGATGCAGCCCCCCCTGTGTGGAGGGAGTCCCTGTCAGGGTACTTGGTATAGCGTCTTGTGGTGTGCTGGCCTTCCAACTCCCAGTCCAAGGTGAGGGGCTTCTGTGCGTGTCTGTCATCTGTGTTGTCCAGTCTGCAGCACATTCCTGCTTCAGAGTCAGCAGTTCAGCCAATCCCAAACCAGGGCCTGGGCGTGAGAAGGGGAGGGCCAGATGTCTACAATGGAGGAGAAACTTAAAGACTTCTTATTTACTTTACTTGAGAAGAAGACAAAAGTAGCCAGACAGAGACCCATCTCCCATCCACTGTCTCACTTCCTAAATACCTGCAACTGCCAGGAATGGACTGATCTGGAGCCAGGAGCCAGGGATCCATACCAGAGACTCACGCAGGGCCTCCCATGTGGGTTTCACACACCCAGGAACCTGAGTCATCACGGCTGTGTTTCAGGAGGTGCATTAGCAGGAAGCTGGACTTGGGAACCCAACCGGGACTTCATTCCAGGCACTGAGTATGGAATGAGGATCTCCCAAGTGGTGTCTTAACAAATACGAGAGACAAATGCCTACCCCTAAAAGGTGGGCTGTAGGGTCTGTAAAGCATGGGGACAGGCAGTGTCCATCCTCAGGCGGGTGCAGAGCTTTTGGGAAGTTGGTAGAGGTGTGTGGGGAACAAGCAATTAGTGCCACCACAGGCCTCTGGCCATGTGGCCCAGTCTTGTGGAAGTCTGATGGAAGAAGAGCTGTTATGGAGAGCAGCCACAAGCACAGAGCAGGGTTGTTGGACACAGAGCAGCTATGGGACAGGAGAGAACCGGAGTGGATCCAGTCTGCAGGGACAGCCGCTCCAGTGCTGAGATTTACCTTTCCCTTGTCATGAAGGCAACTGGGCCTGTAGGAAGGGGCTGAATGGCTGGGGGATGGTTTACAGAGTCATATAAAGCTCATAAACACTGCATTTTTGTCTTAAAGGTTTATTTAATTCTTTGAAAGGCAGAATTACAGATGAGGGAGGAAGGAAGAGAGATGGTTTATGGCTGTAATGGCCAGAGCTGAGCCAAGCTGAAATCAGGAGCTTGGAGCTTCATCCAGGTCTCCCATGTAAGTGACAAGGACCCAAGCACTTGGGCCATCTTCCACTGCTTTTCCAGGTGCTTTAGCAGGGAGCTGAACTGGAAGTAGAGCAGCTCGCACTTAATCTAGCACTCATATGGGATACTGGCATTGTAAATGACAGCTTAGACAGCTGTGCCACAATGTCTGCCACATAGACTCTTCTTTTTAAAGAAGATAAACTGAGCTAGAACCTGAAAAGCTAATATACTGGCATCTTTCAAAAAGTTCATGGAGGGACCAGCACAATGGCTCAATTGACTAATCCTCCACCTTCAAGCAATGGCTTTCTGGGCACCAGTTCATGTGCTGGCTGCTATATTTCCAGTCCATCTCCCTGCTTATGGCCTGGGATAGTGGCGGAAGATAGCCCATTAGCTTTGGAGCCCTCCTCTTGTGTAGGGACCTGGAAGAAGCTTCTGGCTCCTGACTTGAGATTGTCTTAGCTTTGGTCATTGTGACCATTTGGGGAGTGAACCAGTGAATGGAAAATCTTTCTCTCTGTTTCTGCATCTCTCTATAAATATGCCTTTGCAATTTAAAAAAAAAAATCATATGGGAAATAGAATTAAGAGGTAAATTTATTTTGGTGCTAAAATTTTTTGAAATTCGAGATTGGCTGGCGCTTAGCTTGGTGATTAGGCTGCTGGCAAGGAATGCCAGCATCCCGCGTGGGAGTACCTGGGTTGAATTTTTGGCATCCCCCTGTGATTCCACATGCCCACTGCAATGCTCCCTGGGAGGCATCAGGTGATGGTTCAGGGAGTTGCATCTCTGCTACCCAGACAGGAGGTCCAAATTTATGGGTTTGGTTTGGCCTAGTTCTGGCTATTGCAGAACTAGTGGATGGGAGCCTCTCAAATAATGTTAGCTACTTATTTTAAAAATGTTAAAATTATGCATATGCATCTTCAGAAAGGTCATGGAAAATGTGCTGTTCTCAGTTTTTCTTTCTCACCAAAGTGAATTTTTTTTTTTTAGATTTATTTATTTTTATTACAAAGTCAGATATACAGAGAAGAGGAAGGACAGATAGGAAGATCTTCTGTCCGATGATTCACTCCCCAAGTGACCGCAACGGCCAGTGCTGTCCCGATCCGAAGCTGGGAACCAGCAACCTCTTCCAGGTCTCCCATGCTGGTACAGGGTCCCAAGGCATTGGGCCGTCCTTGACTGCTTTCTCAGGCCATACAAGCAGGGAGCTAGATTGGAAATGGAGCTGCCAGGATTAGAACCGGTGCCCATATTAGATCCTGGCATGTTCAAGACAAGGACTTTAGCCATGGCACCAGGCCCCAAAGTGAACTTTTTTAAAAAAGATTTATTTGAAAGGTAGTGTGACAGGAAGAGAGAGATCTGCCATTCCTTGAATCATGCGTTAAATGGGCACAGGAACTGAGGCTAGTCCTAGATAAAGCCAAGAGCCAGAGACTCCATCCTGGTCTCCCACAGGGGCTGTAGGAGGTCTAGTTAGGCCATTTCCCCTCTGCCTTCCAAGGTGCATTAACAGGGAGTGGATTGGAAGCAGACAAAATGGGATCTGAGCCCATCACTCTGATGTGAGATGCCAGCATTGCAGGCAGTGGCTTTACATGCTGTACTACAAGACTGGTTGCAGGAACTTGTCTTTCAATCCCACTTTGCTTGAATGTCTTAAATGCCCTCATACTGGTATAGTTGGCTCTTCACTAAGCTCCAAATGAAAATTTTTTGGAACTCTTTGGGTTTGAATCTCTAGAAGGGAGTTTATAAGATTAACCAGGAGTCTGGAACTCCCAGCTAGGTCTTCTACTTGGTTGTCTGGGCCTTGGGTACTTGGGTGAACATCTCCCTCCAGCCTCCCATTCCCTCCCAGAAGCACACAAGCAGCAAGCTGGCTCAGAAGCAGAGGCCATGCCTTGAGCCAGGCACTTGAAGGGGGGCTGTGGGCATGCCAAGCAACTGCTGGGCTGACATTGTAGTGCAGAGGATTAAGCTGCTGCCTTTGACACTGGGATTCCATGTGCTGCTTCAAGCCCTGGTTCAGGCTGTTCCACTTTCAATCTACCTCCCTACCAATATGCTTGGGAAAAGCAGTGGAAGATGGCTCAAGGACCCAGGCCTCTGCCACTCCCAGGGAAGATTTAGATGAAATTCTAGGCTCCTGGCTTCAACCTTGCTCAGCTGTGGACCACTGTGGCTGTTTGGGGAATGAACCAAGGGTGGAAGATTTCTCTTTCTGTCTGTCTCTCCTTCCCTCCCTCTGTAACTCTGCCCATCAAAGCAATAAAATAAAATCTTTAATAACAGGTAAATTAGTACCTGGTACGTAGCTAACATTTGAGAGGTAGTCATACTACGCAGAGTGACTGAACCTTTTAACATGTTTGTTCCAAGGAGAATGTGTATGTGAACATTTCATGCCGCTTGTCTCACTTCTGTTGACTGGCAGGTTTTTGATGACAAGTACTTTCTGGTGGAAATGGACGACTTGCGGCCCGAGAACCATACGCGGCGGTCATTCGTGTGCCACGCCAACAGTCCTGGCCTCTTCCCTGTGCAATGGAGTCTGAAGAATGGTGTCCACCTCAGCCCCCCTCCGGGTACGCACCCCTGCTTCTCTGTCATGCCCAGCCCATCACTGACAGGCCAGGGAAGCAAGTCTGGGTTCCAGACAGGTGCATGTGGGAGAGCTGTCTGTCCCAGCCCCAGGGCCTGACACACCCCTGCAGGAGCACCGGGGCTCTGGGTGGGCTCCCTCGTCCCTGCCCCATGGTGGCTGCCAGACGGCCATAGTGGGCGGGGCTTGGAGACACAGGGGACCCTGGGAGCCAGCTAGTGAGCTGGGAAGTTGGCTTGTTGGTCATTTCTGGGTGTCTAGGCTTTATCTCAGGGGACTGGAAGGGAGCTCTTGGTGGATAGTCAAGAGTAGGACTCAGGGAGGCCCTCAATAGAAATAGCTAGCGTTCACAACTGTAAACTTTGTCCTCTGACCTTTCTTCAGGATCTAACTTGTGACTTAGTTGAGCTTATCTGGAAAACATGAGCTGCTCATGGTTTGTTGTATCAGCCAGTCTTATCCTTGGGATTTAGCAGCAAAGTCCCCTACTGAGTGTCAGGTGCCAACAATGCTGTGGGGTGTGAGCACGCACCTCCCTCACAGTGGTTTTGTCCCCACCCAGGCTACCCAAGCCAGGACTTCGACTGGGCTGACTACCTCAAACAGTGTGGTGCTGAAGCTGCTCCGCAGAGGTGCTTCCCCCCGGTGAGAGCCCCAGGCCCCACTATGCTGCCCATGCTTGTGGAACTTCTGCCTCAGATGCTGGTTGCCCTCAGCCCAGATGGACACCTTGCTGATTGTAGCAAAATGGTCCTCAGGAAAAGAATCACAGTTAATGCCAAAGCTAATTTGACAGTAACTAAGTTTTAGAGGTTCATGGTTTTGTTTTTCTTATTAGCAGAAATCAATATGGATCTGACATTTCAAAGTTAAAGCATTTATTTGAAAAGCAGAGACATCTTTAGTCTACTGGTTCACTCCTCAAATGTCTGCACCAGCAGGAGCTGTGCCAGGCCGAAGTCAGGAGCCTGGAACACAATCCAGATCTCCCATGTGGGAGGCAGGGTCTCAGTGGCTTGAGCTGTTGCTGCTGCCTCCCACAGTGTGCATTTAGCAGGAAGCTGGAGTTGGCAGGAAGGACTGGGAATGGAACCCAGGACCTGACAGTGTGAACACCCCCACCCCCACCTTCCACAGGACCTGACAGTGTGAACATATACCCCCATACACACCCACTCCTTCCACAGGACCTGACGATGTGAGCACACCCCCCCTCCACACACACACCTGCTCCTTCTGCAGGACCTGACGATGTGAGCACACTACCCCCACCCCGCCATCCCAGGGTCTGTCCCATGACAGGATGGTTGGGTGAGGATGGCTGCGTCATTGGGTCACCGTGGAAATGCCCACCGGAATGGCTTGTATGTGCACCAGTAGTTCTCTGGAGCAATGCTCTTCTTAGCTTGTCTCTTGTTTTCTGCTTCATAGTTCTATTGCTGTGCTTTTGGAAGATTTCCTACGCTTTGTCTTCTGGAGTTTTGGTTTTGGCATCATAGCTCTCTTTTCTGAGTAGTTCTGTATTTTCAGTAGCATTCGATGCTTGTTTGAAGGATGTAGCAGTTACTTTAATCTCACCAAGGATGTTAATTAGCACTCCATCCCACGCCACCCGCCGCTGTTACCCTTTGGAAGTGTTCTTTTTGCATAATCTCGCTGTACTCCAAGTTGCTTGACTGCCTTGGTCTCCGGCTTCCTTATCCTTAAGTGACTGGTATTCCTTGGTTGCGGCTTAGGCTTTGGAATGAGTAACTCCAGGAAAAGACTGCCTGGAAACTCAGCCTGGGACTGAACCTGTCAGCCTTGAACTCACTCGCTCTCCTGGTTGGACCTTGCTGGCCATGTGGGAAGTCTGTCTTTGTTTCTTCTTGGTCTTGTCACATTGCCAAACCAAGTCTCTTGTTCCCTGCCTCTTTTGCCCAGGCCCAGGATTTCTGGCCAGCAATGACTGTTGATCCTGTCTGCAGGATAGCCATCGCCCACCCCTGCAGTAGTGTGGAGAGGGTCATTGCCCTGAGGCAAGGAGTCCAGGAGCTATGACGTTTCCTAAAGCTCAGTGCCGTCAGCAGTTCCTTCCGGCTCCGACTGCTTCTCCTCCACCTCCAGTTGCTTAATACTTGGCCCTCTCAGCTCTCAGCTTGTTTCTCTGCCAGCCAAGATTCAGCTTTCTTTAATTGGTAAACTTGTTTTCTAGACCCTAGTCTTAAACTAAATTTTATAAGAAATTAGATTTATTATGAAATTTCTTTTAAAATTGTATGTTACACAATATTTCCTCATTATATGCATCATATTAGTTTTATATATTTAATAAACAAGCACCAGCATTGTGGTATAACAGGTAAAGACACTGCCTCAATTGCTGGCATTCCACATGGGCACTGATTCAAGGCCCAGCTGTTCCACTTCCAGTCCAGCTCCTTGCTGACGGCTGGGGGCAAACAACCGAAGATGACCACCAAACATTTGGGATCCTGTCACCCACATAGGAGGCACAGATGAAGTTCCTGGCTTTGGCTCTGGCCTAGCTATTGCAGCCATCTGGAGAGTCGACCAGTGGATGGAAAATCTGTCTGTCTGTCTCTCTCTCTGACTTTCAAAATAAATTAATGAACCATTAAATGAATCATTTAAATATTAAATTCATTTAAGTAAATAAATCTTTAAAGGCAAGTCACTAAAAAAAGTATTGGTAGGTTGTCAGGAAAGAGAATAATCCCAAGGCAGATGTCTGTCATCCATCTTGACCCAGAAGCTACAAGTCTTTAGCACTTATCCTAAGTACCCCTGTCCACTTGTCCATGAGCATTCTGTAACCACTCTTGAGGACACATCTGTGGTGTGAACCCAGCCATCTATTGTATTGGAGCCCACTCAGTTCAGCACCCCGATGCCTGATTTCACTGACTTAGCAACACAAATGTCCTCAACCTCCCCTGGCAGACAAGGGAATTGGAGCTAGGCACCCCATACACATAACAGTGACACAAGGAGTGTCTGAACTCTAAAACCATGCATCTCCCAGTGCGCAGGGGGACCATGTAGCCCTCAGCACCCAGGGAAGCAGACACGTTTCCTCATGCTATGCTCCGTGAGAGGAGTGAAGCGTGATGATATGTAGCTTTGCAGTGAGCCTGGGCATCCTCAGCTGGGCACGTGATTAGAGCTGAGTGACACTCCAGTCATGGATCGGTCCTTCTTTTTCTAGTCCATTTCCGACCATGAGTTTCAGGAGAACATGAAGCTTGAGGCAGTGAACCCTCTGCTCCCTGAAGAAGTGTGTGTCGCCACCATCACCGCGGTGAGAGGCTCCTACCTGTGGCTGCAGCTGGAGGGTGAGTACCAGTGTCCTGTGTGTCCCTGGCTGCCCCGTGGTGTGGCCAGTTCACCTTAACACATGAGCTCCAGGGGGATTTGTTCAGATGCCAGAGTCTAAGCTGGAAGATAGCATTTTCCTGTCTGTGGCTTTCCTATTTTAGGAAATGAATATAAATTAAAAACCTTTCATAGAGTCCTCTGTTTCCTTGAAGGAAAATGTGTAAATCAGATAGCTTTGACTTGCTGTGGCCACAGTAAACAAGCATGGGCATTAACACCCAGCTTACTGAAGAGGTGTTATTGTATTTTTGTTGTCCCAAACCAGTGGAACCCAAAGATACCTGAAGTAGAAGTCCCATGTTATCCTGAGGCAGTGTTTCCTGGTAGAATAGGCATGTGGGCAGAAGGCACTATGTGAACACCCAGTGATGATCTGGTCTGGCTCCAGTCTCCACTTTTTCCTGCACTGAACCCCAACTCTGAGAAGGTCCCTACCTGTTCCTGCTCTGCAGAGTTGGCATCCAACACAGCTGTCAAGGACAGCACTGCTTGTGGACGCTTACACACCCTTATGGGACAACTGTACGAATCACCTCCTTACTTAATTCACTGTTTGACTTTCTGGATGGCTCCCAGAATGCAGAACTCATGCTCTTGCTGGGGAGTGCTGTCATATTTGTCTCCTGGTTTCCATTCACTTCCGAGACCTAACTGTGGTACTTGCTGGCCACCTGCCTGGCACACCAAGTGGCTCCAAGCTACTTGTTTGCTGGTCCTGAGCTGAGGGTGACTCTAGATCCACAACCTGGCAGCTTGCTTCTTTCTGCACAGGGTTTGTCATGTCTGAGAAAGTACGGCCTCCTCCAGGGTGCATGCCTGTGCTTTTATAAAAACAGCTGTGCTTTTAGTAAAACAGCTATTGAAAGAGGTTGTTTAATGATCTGGAGAAAAGTGTGGTTTTAAATTTTTTTTTACTCTAAACAGGTTCTAAGAAACCCATTCCTGAATGTATCGTGAGTGTGGAATCCATGGACATATTCCCTTTGGGCTGGTGTGAGACCAACGGCCATCCGCTTAGCACCCCTCGCCGAGCACGAGGTATTGCTGTGTTTGTGAGTCAGAGGGTTGCTCATGTGGCTGCTGCTGTTTAGGCTGGAGCTGGACACTTAAGAGAGAACCTGTGGTGTTCTAGCTATCGGTTCCTGTGTAGCAAATTGCTTATTGCAACAGTTATTGCATGGTTTCCCTAGCTTGGGGAGCTGGTCAGGGTTTGGTAGGGCCTCTGGCCCAGTGCTCTTGCAGGCCACAGGCCAAGTGTCAGCCAGGGTTGTGGTCCTCTCGGGGCCTAGTGGGGAGGCTCTGCATCCAAACCCACTCAACCCACTCAGGTGCTGACTGGCGGCTGTCTTGGTCTGCTCTGGCTGTTGCCACAGACCAGCACAGGTGCTCTGAGGTTCTGACAGCATCAGAAATGCGTCTCACACTTCTGGAGGCTAACAAATCCAAGGGAAGAGTGGCAGGAGGTTCAACAGAGGTTTGTCTCCTGGTCCATAGGTGCTGTCTTCTCCCTATGTCCTTTGGAGCAAGGGCTGCTGCTGGCCCCTTACAGGCCTCGTCAAGGGTACAGATCCCAGCCAGGAGGGCTCAGCTGGGCAGATGACAGCAACAAGGACTCATTTCCCTGTGGCTTGTTGGACTTAGGACCTCAGCCCTGACTGGCAGGGGGCTTCCCTTGATTCCTTACAATGAGGTCTCTGTAGGACAGCTCACAGCACAACTGCTGGCTTACATCAGAGTGAGAAAGAGAGAGTGAACAGACACAAGAGGCTGAGCCAGGAAAAGCCAAGCTTCCTATAACAAAGTCTTCAAAGTAGTATCATGCATCTGCTACTTGTTCGAGTGATTTTGTTGAGATAAAATTCATCTTTCACGAATATCTCTCTTTTAGAGTATATATTGGATGGTTTCAGTATATTTGTGATTCTGCAGCTCTTACTGTAATACATCTGGCAACATGTCACCCTGAGAAGAAACCCATCCCATGAGCAGTCAGCCAGCCTGGCTCAGGTAGCCAGAGCTGCCTGTTCTGGATGTTTCAGAAAAGGCCAATCCTGCACTGTGTGTGAGGGGTGGGGAGGAAAGGGAGAGGAAGACTGGCTTTTCTTGCTCAGTGTAGTGCTTTCTGAGTTCATCCACATTGTAGTGCATATTGGAACTTTATTCCTTCTGTAGCAGCTGAATAATATTCCATTGCAGCGATATGCCCCATATTTCTCCACTCATCACCTGATGGACCATGGGCTGTCACCATTGCTTTACTTTTATGAATTACGTTGCTCTGAATGCCAGTGTCTGTAACAGTTTGAGAGACTGCCAGACTGTTTCCCAGAAGCAGGTTTTTTATGTTCCTACCAGCAACAGATGAAGCTCCAGTTTCTGCACATTTTCCCCAATATTTTCTTTACCTTTTTTTTTTGAAGATGTACTTATTTCTATTAGAAAAGCAGATTTACAGAGAAAAGAAAAGACAAAGAAATAAGGATTTTTCATCCACTGGTTCACTCCCCAAATGACCTCAATGGCTGAAGCTAAACTGATCTGAAGGCAGGAGCCAGGAACTCTTTCCTGGTCTCCCACCTGGGTGCAGGGGCCCAGGAATCTGTCCATCTTCTGCTGCTTTCCCAGACTATAAATCCAGAGTTAGATAAGAAGTAGAGCAGCCAGGACACAAACTGACACTCATCTGGGAGGCTCGTGTTTGCAGGCGGAGTATTAGCGTGTTGAACCACCATGCTAGCCCCATAGTGAAGACAGAGACTTATTGAGCTCAAGGTTTTTGATGTATTGAAGCCAAGGGTGAGCAGCCCTGTTGGTCTGGCTTCTAGTGAGGACCGTGAGAGCCTTAAAGTGCACACAGGTAGAAGCAGAGTGGGGACACAACCCACATCACACTGTCGCACCCAGCCCTGTCAGGACAGCTGCCTGCCAAGGGCACTCCCCTGGTGACCCAAGGCCCTCTTGCTAGCCCACCTTGTGAACACCATAATTGGGCAAAATGTCTGCTCTTAGTGCCGTTGACAAATGACTTTGGGGTCGAAATGTCTGAGTAAGTTTGGGGCCAGATCATTTAAACAGCAGGGGAAAATAGCCATAAAAACTGACTGACCCAGGAAGCCTTGAAAATAATTATTTTTTGTGCCATTTATAAAGCCCTTTGCCCAGAAAATGCCCCTTAGTCTAGATATGCAGACACAGTTGCATGTATTTCTAATACTTTGAGAATTGTGTGTATATGAAATTAGGGTTTAGATATGCTAATGTAAGCTTAATACATATCTGAGCTTTTCCTTTTTTATTTTCTTGACATTTATACTTCTGTTTCCTTCTTACAGTACATAAACAGAGGAAAATTGCAGTGGTTCAACCAGAAAAGCAGTAAGTTTGTATGAATAATTGTTACTTGAATATTACAATTTCTAGAGAAAGAAATAGCTGTTTCAAAGAACATATCTCCTTATAGATGATTTCTCAGATGAAGGTCTGAACTTTTTTGGGGGGGGGACAGTCTTTACACAGTTAATTAGGGCACAAAAGTTCAAGGGCTACAGGAAAGTGGGTAAGACTATTATTTCCACCTTTTTTCCCCCCTGTATCTGGGGTAGAGGGAGAGGTAAAGGGAGAAGCCCCACCCAGTCTCCCATTCATCCCAGGCCCCGACGTGGGGCATGCTCCGAGGGTCTTTCTCAAGTGGTTTTGATAGTTCAGCAGTTATGAATTGCTGCCAATCTCACCATTCCAAGCACGATGAGGTCATTGAAGAATCCTCTGATTGACATAGTCCATCTTAGAGTCTCCGTTTGCCCAGTTTTTCACTGCCAACATATGACTGGGGTAGTTGACTGACTTGTTCTGTCCTCTGTCTTTTCATGGTTAGGGTTCTGAGTCTGGCAGTTCAATGAAGGTCTGATCTTTTAATTCAGCTTTTGGTCACGTCTATACTTCTTGTTACAGTGTATCTATGTCTATGTACACCTTCTAGAGTGCATTGTATAGGGAGGTTGAGTGCATCTGGAGGGGTTCCCCAAAACTGAATTGTCTTTGGTGTTTAGAGCATGAAGGCATTAGGATGAAAGAAAGAAAGTGAGTCCCACTGATGATTTTTTTTGCTACAGAAAGACAAAAATGGTAAATCATCAGATCTGTTTCTGTAACAGAAAAGATGAGATAGAAGACTGGATTCTAAAGGGCAAGACGCTGAGCTGTTGCTTGCCCACCAAGACACCCGTTCACCACACATCACACCAGCTTTTGAGAAGCAGTTCATTAGTGGTGCCTGCAGAATTTACAAATCCAGAGGCTTCTGTGCTCACTTTGGCAGCACATATACAAATCCAGAGGTTTCTGTGTGTTTTTACATGCTAGATTTGAGTGTTAAATTACTGTGCTTGGACAGCCATCCTGAAAATAGCATACACCGAGCAATGCAAGCCACCGGAGTTTATTCTCTCACATTCTTGAGCTGCAAGTCTGAGATCCAGGAGCTGGTTGGTCCAGTTCTCTTTGTGGATCATAGATGGCAATCTGACTGGGTCTTCACATGGTAAAATCTCGATTGGGGCCAGTTTTTTTTTTTTTTAAGATTTATTTATTTTTTTATTGGAAAGGCAGATGTACAGAGAGGAGGAGAGACAGAGAGGAAGATCTTCCATCCAATGGTTCGCTCCCCAAGTGACTGTAGCAGCTGTAGCTGAGCTAATTTGAAGTCAGGAGCCAAGAGCTTCCTCTGGGTCTCCCATATGGGCCCAGGGTTTCACTGCTTTCCCAGGCGACAAGCAGGGAGCTGGATGGGAAATGGGGCCACCAGGATTAGAACCAGCACCCATATGGGATCCTGGCACATTCACGGTGAGGACTTTAACGACTATGCTATCACGCCCGGCCCAGGGCCAGGTTTTTACCGGTTAAGATGCTAGTTAAGATCCTGTGTCCATCATCAGGGGGCCTGGTTGGCGTCCATGCTCCGCTCCTGAGCCCAGCTTCCTGCGAATTCAGACCCTGGTGGTGGCAGTGCTGGACTTGTTTGCAGACACCCATGTGGGGAAACCTGGTTTGAGTTCCTGCATTCTGGATAGTTCTAAGCCTAGCCCCTGCTGTTGCAAGTATTTGGGAGTAAATAGGGGATGGGAGCTCATGCGCTCTCCTACTCTGCCTCTCAAAATTCTCCTTTTCTCTTCTCTTTTCTTTCTTTCTTTCTTTCTTTCTTTCTTTCTTTCTTTCTTTCTTTCTTTCTTTCTTTCTCTCTTTCTCTCTTTCTTTCTTTCTTTCTGTCAACACTAATTTTTTTTATTGCAGAGGTGTGACAGAGGGAGAGTGTGAGATCTTCTGTCCACTTGTTCACTCCCCCTATATGCTGTCTGTAGCCAGAGCTGAGCCAGGCCAAAGCGAGGAGCCAGAAGCTCCACCTGATCTCCTACGTAGGTAGCAGCCACCCAGGCACTTGAGCTGTGATCTGCCTGGCAGGGTGCTGTGAGTAGGAAGCAGAGGCAGATTTCAGATCCAGACACTCTGACAGGAGCTGCAAGCGTCCTAAGTATCTCCTAGGACTTGCACAGGTCCTTTCAGATCATGGCTCTACCCACACAACCTCAGTTAACCTTGCTTTTTTTTTTTTAATTAATTAATTTATTTATTTTAAAGATTTATTTTTATTATATTTTATTGGAAAGGCAGATATACAGAGAGGAGAGACAGAGAGGAAGATCTTCCGTCCGATGATTCACTCCCCAAGTGAGCGCAACGGCCAATACTATGCCGATCCGAAGCCAGGAGCCTCTTCCGGGTCTCCCACGCGGGTGCAGGGTCCCAAAGCCTTGGGCCGTCCTCGACTGCTTTCCCGGGTCACGGGCAGGGAGCTGGATTGGAAGCGGGCCGCTGGGATAGAACCGGTGCCCGTATGGGATCCCAGGCGTGCAAAGGCGAGGACCTTAACCACTTGCGCTACCACGCCAGGCCCAACCTTGCTTTTTCAAAACTGTCTCCAGATACAGTTCAGTTGAGGGTCAGGGCTTCACCACGTGAATGAGGTGGAGAATCACCGGTCAGCCTGCAGCAAGTTCTTTGACCGCCTAGTACATGAGTGATAGGTATATACAATATATAGGTATTGTAGCTGTGTAGGCAATAAAACTGACAAGCAGAGAGAAGGGCCATAGAGTCTCATTCCCAGTAGATACCAAACAGTGAAAAAACTGACTTTGGATTTTCCCTCAACTTGGACAGACCCAAAGCTTAGGAAGCACTCTGAGAAGAGGAATTATTTAGCATTTTCTAGCTATTGATAAAGGCAAAATAAGCCCCTGGATTTTTTGATAATTTGTCTTTAGTTTTGAAACTAATAGAAATGGAAAAAGAGTGTGATGGAGGAAATATCTTCTTCCATCAACAGATTTTGCAACCTGTCACATGTGCTTTCTGCCTAAATCTAAAGGAGATGAACTCACACCTGACTGTTTGGGAATGGGGCTTCTTTCAACTGTCCTCTGTTTTGTCACAGAGTGCCATCCTCGCGGGCTGTCCATGAAGGCCTGAAGAGCCAGGAGCTGAACTCTGCAGACTCGGGTATGGGCATTGGGCGTGGGCGGCCCCACGGAGGGGGAGGGCCCTGGATCCCTCAGCTCCCCGGGCAGCTATGTGCGTTCCAGCACAGCGGGGCACTCACAGGGGATTTGGTAAATGTCTGGACATCAAGGCTCCGAGAAGCGTGATCTCTGAGTGGAAGGACAGGCAGCTTCCTGAAGTGCACAGTCCTGTGCTATGCTCTTGCACCCACCGCCTTTCCTGTGTCATTTACATGTAAGGGACACCTGGCTGGTCACTCCAGTACCTGCAGAGAAGAAAACATTTACGAGGTAGCACCTTGTGCCTGACCTCGGTGAAGAGCTTTTGGTTTGGATTTTGTCGTAGGTCAGGTTCCCGGGGACATCTGAGCTCGGACATCTGCATGTGTACATTGAGGCGCTCCTCCTGGGAGAAGTAGACAGCAATGAGCAGAGAGAGAAACTGAACCCTAGTACATCAGCTGCAGCATGGATGTCTCCACATTCTGCGAGAGCCGTGGAGTTGATGGAGCTGTGCAAAAGGGCCTGACTCGAGCAGCTTCTGCCTTCACCTCCTGCAGCCCCACCTCACATAGTTGGGAAAGACCTTGAGTCAGGAGGCTGTCTTCCCTGAGGGCTGTCCCTGGTTCAGAACAGTTCTGGAGCAGGCTACAGTGGAGAACTGCAAGCTGCCAGTGCTCCCAGTAGCACAGGTTGAGAGCCCTTATCCTGAAGAGGGGATCTTGGCTGGCAAAGTAGGTGTCTTCATGCTGACCACCGTGCTGAGAACACATTCCGCATTAGAGGAGGTGGTCTGTACCTCTGAATGCCTCAGCGGTGAACACTGCAGATGTCGCCTTTGTATTTTTTTTTAAAGATTTGTGTATTTGAAAGGTATAGTTAGAGATGACGAGAGAGAGAGATTCCATCCCCTGGTTCACTTCCCATATGGTCACAATGGTTGAGACTGGGCCAGAGTGAAGGTAGGAGCCAAGAGCTTCCTTCCAGATATCCCATGTGGGTGCAGGGCCCTAAGCAGTTGGGCTGTTCTCTGCTGATTTTCCAGATGCATTAGGAGGGAGCTGGAAGTGGAGCATCTGGGTCTTGATCCGGTACCTGTTATGGGACACTAGCACTGTAGGCAGCAACTTAACCCCAGCACTTAGCCAGGTGGAAGCCAGGAGGAAGGAGTTCCATGGTTTCCCATGTGGGTGGCAGAAACCCAAGTGCTTGAGCTATCGCTTGTTGGCTCCCAAGTGAGCATCAGCAGGAAACTGGGTACAAGCAGAGTAGCCAGACTCCAACCGAGCACTCTGATGGAATTCAGGCAAATGGTGGCTTAATCCACTGCAGCAGAACACCATCCCCATCTCCTTTTGTTAATGTCGGGTTGAAAGGCAGGATGTGCCAGTAGAACTTCTCTGCTTTGTATCACAATAAAAATTCCCTACTGTACTTGAAGTTTCCTATATTCAGTAGCTGAAAGGGCAGCTACTATGAGGGAATGTAATTTTTTTAAAAAAGCACATTAGGTAAAAGTACAATATTCATGCATGAGCCTGGCTGGAGAGAAGTTTCTGGGCTTAGATATACACAAAACAGAAGGAACTTAAAGATGTGGTTACAGCATATTCCAGCTGCTGAGAAATACCGGTGATGGGAGAGATCCTGCAGCATGAGAAGCTGCCAACATTTCAGCTTTAGTGGCCTTTGGCCACTATAATTTTTTTGTAAAGGTTTATTTAATTTATTGAAAAGGAAGATATATAGAGAGAAGGAGAGACAGAGGAAGATCTTCTGTACATTGATTCACTCCCCAAATGGCCACAATTTGACTGGAGCTGGGTTGATCAGGAGCCAGGAGCTTCTTCCAGGTCTCCCACACGGGTGCAGGGTCCCAAGGTTTTGGGTCGTCCTTGACTGCTTTCCCAGGCCACAAGCAGGGAACTGGATGGGAAGCTGAGCAGCTGGGACACAAGCTGGCTCCCACATGGGATCCTGGCACATACAAGGCAAGGACTTAACCGCTAGGCCACTGTGCTTAGTTCTTTGATCAGTACTCTTAAGGAGACAAATTAGATTCCTGGGTAGTCATCAGCATCAGTCCTAAGAAATGTTCTGGATAGAATGTTGAATATTGTTATTTTTTTTAAAGATTTATTTTAAAAGACAAAATTAAAAGGAGAAGGAGAAATCTGCCATCCTCTGGCCCACTCCCCAGATGGCTTCTGTGGCTACCACTGAATCAGGCTGAAGCCAGGAGCCAAAAGCTGCTTCTGGGTCCGCCATATGGACACAAGAGCCCAAGCAATTGGATTATATGCTGCTGCTTTCCCAGGCCATTAGCATGGTCCACAAAGTAGATCCCGCACTTCCTGACATCTGGTGCACAGAGCCTTGCGACAGTCGTGGCACTCACAGGAGCCAGTGGCATGGGATTCGGGGTGTCTTTGATGTTGGCTGAGCCATAGCATTGTAAGACAGTGCAAGGTGCGTGGGCACTGCCTGAGTATAAGGTATTTCAATTCATTCTCAGGCAGTGAGTGCGTTGCGCTTCTGTGTGCACAGGTCTGCTGGTGGGCGTGTGCGGTGTTTCCCTCCTGGCACTTCAGCTTTGCATATGTGGCTGGAGGAGTCAGTGTTATTTGTTTCTCCTTCCTTCGCAGTTATGATTAATGGAAAATACTGCTGTCCAAAGATCTACTTCAACCATCGCTGCTTCTCAGGGCCATACCTGAACAAAGGCAGGATTGCTGAGCTGCCTCAGTGTGTGGGGCCTGGAAACTGTGTGCTGGTCCTCAGAGAGGTAAGGTTCTGGCCCGCAGCACAGCACAAGCTGGGAAACTTCAGGCAGTTGCCCAGGCTCACCGGGGCTATGGCTATGCTTACTCCAGGAATTGTCTGAAACTGTGAACCCTGCTCAGTGAGCCAGTGCCCTCTTACTCTTGGGATGCAGTCCATGGTGCCTGCTGTGTGCCTGTGTGTACAGACCTGTCAAAAGTGTGGTTTGTGAATTAGACACGGTAAGAGATTAATGCAACTAGTAGACCAACAGACTGCAAGGAAGGTTCTGAGGCTGGGGCCTCTCACTGACCTGCCCACACACCTTCCTGAGAGGCTGTGTGATGAAGCCAGGTGACCAGCGCTGTGACATAGCACGGGGCTCCTGTAAGGATCGTGAGAGAACAAGTTTTGTGAGTCGCCTCTGCTGTCCCTCTGCAAACAGATGGCTGCAGGTGACTGACGGGCAGGTGTGTGTATGCTGTGGTGGGTGGGCTGGACCTAGACAAGAGTCCCATCCTGGGTGGGAGGTGCAGGACTGAGCTGTCTCCATACTCAGGTGACTTGTGACTTAGCGCCTAGATGTTGTTCATCCCTGAAATCTGCCACTGAGTGCACACTGTGTGACTAAAAGGAACTGAAACCGGCAGAGTAACACTGCCAGTGGGCTGGTGCCGAGAGCCAGGCATAGCCCCTGGGGACTTCTGCCCCCTAGGGGACAGGTGCCCTGGCAGTACCTCTTTTTTTTTTAATTTTAATTTTATTTTTGATGATGTATACATAGTTGATCAGGGTGTGAAGGATTAAGGGTTAGGGAAAAGTGAGTGTGATTGTTGTTTCCATTTTTTAAATTTTTTCTTCCTGTTTCTGGGGGAAGGGACAAAGTAAGGGAATGAGACATACCCAGGTTCCCAACCACCCCAGTACCTGGGGATGGGGAAAGACCACGTGGTATCAACTCAGGATCCCGGTACGGTGCACACTCAGGGTTCTGGCAGCACCTCTTGTCACCACCACTTCTCTGTCTGGGCAGATAGGTCTTCCGTAGGAGATCCTCCTCAAGGGAATAATGGAGCGTGCCGGTGAGCAGGGGCCACAGCTGACAGGCTGTGTGTCACTGGTCTGGGGAACATGATGAAACTGGGGGCCCCAGCCAATGTGCCATACTGAACCTTCTGACCCTCAGCCTGACAAGGTAGGCTCTGGCAAAGTGGTGCTTCTGAGGGCATAGTGCCAACCCCACAAAGGTCTGCTCTCTACCAAGGGCATGTATTGACTGTGGAAGCTTCCAGAAGTGTATGCTCGAGTAATTTGGGTTTATGGTGCCAACTTTTGTCTGACTTTTCCATTCTGAACATGTAGGATTTTGTCACTCTATTTAAGTGCAAGTGTGGACAGTCATGAGCCCTGCGGCATTACTGCTTTGGTAAATGCTTGCCAGTTAACAGGATCAGCAGCGACCTCTGAGGCTGGTGGCAATGCAGGGGTCTAATGTCTCTTCTCTCCTCCCCAACCTCTCTTTTGGCTTTGGAACCGACCTCAGGTGCTCACCTTACTCATCAACGCAGCCTACAAGCCCAGCCGCGTCCTGCGGGAGCTCCAGCTAGACAAAGACTCTGTGTGGCACGGCTGTGGGGAAGTCCTGAAGGCCAAGTGAGTGCCTTTGGAGTCCCAGGTTTCAGGGAGTGATGCTGAAGGGGCTGGTTGGTTTTTATTTTCAATTTTCATTCTGCTCTGGATTGATGGACGTAAAGTACACCCCCCCCCAAAAAAAAAAAACGAAACTGGGACAGAGAGAAGCATACATCTTCTCCTGTTATTAGATTCAAGAGAACTATGATTACTTTTTCAAATTACTGTGGAAATTGAAAAGTTTCGCCCTTGTTATGGCGGTGGCAGTTGTAGGATTCCTGCCCCAGCTAAGGGCACACCTGATGGAGGTGACATTCTTTGGGTAACAGTAAAATCACTCTTTGAAAATGTTAACCTACGAACAGGCAGCGGGAGCATTAGTTTGATAACTTATGCTCTGTTTTTCTTTTAAAGTGACCCAACTGTTCACTGTCATCACCTACTAGATCTAATTTAAGTGTAAAATGTAGAACTTCTAAGTTCTGAAACTATAGAAGGACATAGAGTATTCTATCAAGCAGAGATGTTTTTCAAATATATTAATGTTTGGCTTCTCTCTGGGTGATCGCTTGCCTGGTAAATTTGTCATCTAATGTCTTCCATGGCAGATATAAAGGAAAAAGTTATCGTGCAACTGTGGAAATAGTGAAAACAGCAGACCGCGTGACTGAGTTCTGCCGACAAACATGTATCAAATTGGAATGCTGTCCTAACCTCTTCGGTCCACGAATGGTTCTGGATAAGTGTTCTGAAAACTGCTCTGTGCTCACCAAGACCAAATACAGTAAGTCATGGTTCTCAGATGTGTGAACTATAGCAACAGACTCTACATTATACATTGGAAATAAGCCTTATAATTTTTCTTTTATGTGAAAAGCAGAAAAAGAGAAATGCTGATCAGTCGATCTGCATTCTGGCGTTTTACTCCGCAGATGCCTGTGCTGCTGTGGCTCGGCCAGGCCAAAGCCAGGAGTCAGGAACCCCAGGCCTGTCCATCCGCCCCCACCCCGCCCAGGTGGTGGGGCCCAGGCATTTTGGCCATTAGTGCTGGCTCCTGGGATGCATTAGCAGGGAACTGGAGTGGAAAACAGAGTGGGACTGGAACCCAGACACTTTGATATGGGATCCGGATGTCTCGAGCAGTCATTAGCTTTTGTGTTAAATGCCTACCCCAGGTCTTATATTCCTAAAGGATTCTTTTTTATTTTAGAAGTTTTATTTATTCATATAAAAGGCAGAGTTACATGGGCACAGCGCAGTAGCTTAGCAGCTAAAGTCCTTGCCTTGCACACACTGGGATCCCATATTGACTCTGGTTCTGATCCTGGTGGCCCTGCTTCCCATCCAGCTACCTGCTTGTGGCTTGGGAAAGCAGTGGAATACGGCCCAAGGCCATGGGACCCTGCACCCATGTGGGAGACCCAGAAGAAGATCCTAGCTCCTGGCTTTAGATCAACACAGATCCAGCCATTGCTGTGGAGTGAAGATCTTCCTGTCTGTCCTCCTCTCTGTATGTCTTACTTTAAAAAAAAAAATTAAATCTAAAAAAAAAAAAAAAGGCAGAGTTACAGAGAAAAAGAGAAGAAGAGACAGAGATATACCTTCCATCTACTGCTTCACTTCCCAAATTACCCCAATCGCCAGGGGTGGCCCAGATTGAATCCAGGAGCTTCTCCCAGATCTCCCACATGAATCTAGGGGCCTAAGCACTTGGACCATCCTCTGCTGCTTTCCCAGGTGCATTAGCAGGGAGCTGAGTTGGGAGTGGATGGAGAAACAAGGACTTGAATTGGTGCCCATATAGGACGCTGAATTGTATTGTAGTTGGCATCTTAGCCCACTGTGCCATGATGCTGGTGTAAAAGAATTCTTGAAAATCAGAGTACCACAAAAGAAATAATATGTAACAGGGATCATGTGACCCACAGCATAAAATGTTTGTTTATCTGGCCCCTGTAGAAAGCTGTGTAAATGCTTCCTACAATGCTTGTCGATGAGATGGGTGAATCACATACCATGTTAGTTACAATCGCTGCACATTAGTTACAGATGCTGCACATGACACCAAGCCAGACACGTGGGCAGTAAGTAGTTCACTGCCCGTCTTGTAGTGTGATTCTCAAGTTGAAATGCTGTTTACGTTTTTCAAGTTTCTTTTTTATTCATTTGAAAGGCAGAGAGGCAGTACTCTCTGTGTGCTTCCACTATTCCAGTACTGGAGCACAGTTAAAAACCAGAGCTCCTGTCTCCAGTGAGTTGCCATCAACTTTGGGAGACAGAGAACAAACAAGGGAGCAGGTGGGGAAATGAGCAGCATTGGGGGAGCCAAGCAGGGGGCACAAGCACAGGAGGAGGAAGCAGGCCAGGCGGTGAGGACGCCCTCGGCAAGGAAGTAGACTGAAGGCAACAGCGTGCAGATGTGGGGCTGGGAACAGACTGGCTGATGGTAGGGAAGGAAGGCAGGAGCCGGCATGGGCTGTAGGGAGAGCAGCAGAGATGCCCTGGTGTGAACAGTGGGAAAGGAGCAGGCTCTCTCTGCACTGCATTGACAGTGCCTGTCCCTCTCCCTCTATGGAACTGGGCGGAGTGGAGTGGGGGAACACAGACTCAGAGGACACTTTTGACAGTGTGGTGTGGTTGAGGCGTCATTTATAGTCCAAACTCCCTAACTCCTGTGAGTCCTGAAGACTTTTGGAGAGTTAGTGTGGAAGCAATATTCCTCATCAAGAGCTTGTCCCTGGAATATAGCAGCAACTCCCGCAGCACAATAATTGAGAGAAGTGTTTAGGTTATAGCCCATGGTGGTTGCATGACCCTGTGAACACATTGAATACCATCAAGGGTAAGGGTTTGCATGCCAGGGACCGCCCCCCACATCCACATTAGAGTACCTGGGTTTGAGTCCCAGCTCCATGTGAGAGTCTAGCTTCCTGCTATGTGCACCTTGGGAGATCACAAGTGATGGCTCCAATGGCTGGGTTACTGCCATTCATGAGGGAGCTCCAAACCGAGTTCTAGGCCCCTGGCCGTGACCTGGCCCAGCCTGGCCATTGTAGGTACTAGGGAGTAAACCATTAGGTGAAAGAACCCTGTCTCTCTCTTTGCCTGGCAGATAAACAAACATCACTGAGTTATATATGTGAAGATGACTGTGTGTTAGGTTAGCTATACCTCACATAAAAAGAAACCAAATACAGTCAAATTAGATGGTGATAGTTCATGAAAGATTTCTAAAAAAAAAAAAATACTAAAAAGTATGCAGTGAAAGTCTTATCATGAAAGTGCAGATCAGAACTACAGTGAGAAATCATTACACACCTGCTGTACTGGGAAGAGTGAGAGGTGGGCAGTTTGTGTTGGCTGAGTTAGGGCAATTGTGTTGTGTACATTGCTGGTTGGAGTGAGGTACTGTACATCCGTGTGGGAAAACTAGCAGTTTCTTCTTAAGTAAGTTGTCCAGCTACCTGTCATACAACGATTCCACCCCTAACTATTTATCCAGCTATATAGAGACAAGCCCAGTAAAAGCCTTGGGAAATGGGGAGGACTGGTGTTGGGGCGCAGCATACGACACTGGCATCCCATATTGGAGTGTGGGTTTAAGTCGCAGCTGCTGTAGGTTTGTGTTATTTTTGTTTTTGGTGGTGGTTGTTTGGTTTTTGTTTTTTGGGTTTTTGTTTGTTTTTGTAAGATCGATTTCTTTATTTGGAAGGCAGAGTTAGAAAAAGAAATCTCCCTTCAAGGGTTCATATCACACATGACCGCAATAACCAGGAGCCAAGAATTCCATCCAGGTCTCATGGGTTTAGGGTCCATATGGGTGCAGGGTCCCAAGGCTTCGGGCCATCCTTTTCTGCTTTTCCAGGTCACATTAGCAGGGAGCTGGATAGGAAGCAGAGTAACCAGGAGCTGAATTGGCACTCATATGGAATGGTGACATCACCAGCATTGACTTAACACACTGCACCCTGATGCTAGGTCCCCCCACCCCCAGCCTGCTCTGCTTCTGACTCAGCTTCCTGTTAATATTCACCTTGGGAGGTAATAGGTGTTGACTCAAGTAATTGGATTTCTGTCGCTAAAATGGAAAATCTGATTTGAGCTCCTAATTTTGGCCCAGTTCCTGATGTTCTGGGCATCTAGAGAATGTACTAGTAGATGGGAGATCTCTGTCTTTCTGTTTCTCTTTCCTTTTCAAGTAAATAAAATAATAATAATAATAAAATTGTTTTAAAAAAAAAACCCTTTACAAGGGCAACACAATGGTAGTAGGCTAATCCTCTGCCTGCTGCAGCACTGACATCCTGTAATGGGTACTGGTTCAAGTCCAGGATGTTCATCTTTTGATCTGTTCCCTGCTGTTGTCCTGAGAAGGCAGTGAAGGCTTGCCCAAAGCTTTGTTTCCCTACACGCACATGGGAGACCCCAGGGGAGGCTCCTGGTTACTACCTTCAGCCTAGCCCAGATCTGGCCATTGCATCATATTTGAGGAGTGAACAAGTATGTGGGAGGTATCCTCTCTATAACTTTGACATCTGGGCCCAGTGTGATAGCCTTGTGGCTAAAGTTCTCGCCTTGCATGCACTGGGATCCCATATGAATGCCGATTTGTATCCCGGCTGCTCCACTTCCCTTCCAACTCCCTGCTTGTGGCCTGGGAAAGCAGTCAAGGATGGCCCAAAGCCTTGGGACCCTGTACCCATGTAGGAGACATGTAAAAAGCTCCTGTCTGTTGACCTTGGATCAGCTCAGCTTTGGCTGTCATGGCCACCTGGGGAATAAACCAGTGAATGAAGAATCTTTCTTTCTTTATATCTGATTTTCCAATAAAAATAAGTAAACCTATAAATAAATAAATAACTTTGAAATCTTTAGTAAAACAAATGTTTAAAAAATAGTTTTGATTTTTTAAATTAATAAAAGCCTTACACAATAATGTAGATTGCAACTTAATGATAGTCAAAATGTGGGAAATGGCTCAGTTGTGCACCAGTAGGAAAAAGTAACAGACTGTTGCATTCGTTCAGTGGTGTGCTGCACAACAACCTAAGTACAGAGTGTGGGGCCCTCACACCCGAGCCAGCACTTACCATGGGCTCCAGCCTGTGGAGGTCAGAGTCGGGATCAGGACTGCTTCGAGGAGATGCCTGGGGACTTCCTGGGCGGGAGGAGACAGGGAGAGGCTCGTGCAGGTGATGGCGTGTGGTCCAAGACCCGTGTAGGCCACTGTGTGGAATGCATACCTTAATGAGATGCAGCAGTGGCCTGGTTCCCACCCAGCTCACAGAATCTCTTGCAGTTCAAGCACAGAAGTAACAAAGTTGCTGCATTTGTCTGTTGTCTGTATCTAGCACACTATTATGGAAAAAAGAAAAATAAAAGAATTGGAAGGCCACCTGGGGGGCATAGTAACTTAGCTTGTGCCCTGAAGAAAGCCAGTAAGAGAAGAAAGAGGCGGAAAAACGTATTTGTTCACAAGAAGAAGCGCTGCTCGGCATCTGTGGACAACACCCCAGCAGGCTCTCCCCAGGTACGCCGTGGACTGGGGCCACTGCTCCGCCACCAGCAGGTGGCTTTGTGGCTTCGTGCCTCCATGAGTCTTCCTCTCCCTCCCCCTCTTCCAGGGAAGTGGGGGTGAAGATGAGGATGACCCCGATGAAGGGGAGGACGACTCGCTGAGTGATGGCAGCACTTCGGAGCAGCCAGACGAGCTCCAGGAGGAGTCAGAGACATCCGAGAAGAAGTCCTGCTCATCCTCCCCAGCCCAGAGTGAGGTGTCTGCCTCGCTGCCCACTGACAGACAGGCCCGGCAGAGGGGGCTGCGTGCACTCTCCTTCTCTGATGATGAGAACAAACCCCCCTCACCAAAGGTACTGTCTGTCCTCCCTGCTGCATCTCCCTGGCCCCTCTCCAGAATCTCCCCCAGAACCTGACCGTTGGTGGGGCCTGTATGCAGCATCAGAGCCTCTCCCACGGCTTCCTGGACACTGTCCTAGCACAAGGACTTAGGAATGCCATGCCAAGCTCCAAAGGGAGAGCGGTCCCCAGCATGCTGTCAAATGAAATACAGCACCACCCAGGCTGCACTGCTTGCCAGGGCCTGTTGTCTCACACCAGGAAATTGTACGATTTTCCCTGCATGCTTGCTTGCTTCTAAAGTTTTGCTTGTTTATTTATTTGAAAGGGTAACAAAGAAGCAGAGAGAAAAGCAGACATTGAAAGAAAGGAGACAGATCTTAACACTTGCTAGTTCATTCCTCAGATACCCACAGCAGCTGAGGCAGGTCTAGGCTGAGACCTGGAGCCAGGAACTCTGTCCGGGTCTTCTGTGGGCAATATGAATGCAAGTACTTGGGCCATCATCGGTCACTTTGCAGGTGCATTAGTAAGAAGCTGGATTGAAAGCAGATGTGGGACTCACCCCCAGGCAGGCCAGGATGGAGAGAGGGTACATGGGCTTCCCAAGCAGCAGCTTAGTTAGCTGTGCTACAGTGCTCAGCCTTGAAAGCTGCCTTGTTAATACTTTTTGTCATGTATGTGCTAACGAAAAAAATGGCTTTTCCTTTCCATTCTTACTGAGCTATTTTGTTCAGTACATTTAACACATACATATATGACCATGTGTGTAAATTTGTACACACAATAGTCTGCAGTTCAGTGATTTAGAACTGTTGCTAGTTACTGAAACTATTCCATCAGTGTAAGCCGTAAGGGATTTCTCCTGTCATTGGCAATGCCATCCTGACCTCTCAGCACCCTTCTAGAAACTGAGCTGACACAGGCCAAGGGACCGAGGGAGGATTTAGAAACTGTCCTCTGGTAAATTGTTGGAATGATTTGTGCTGAAACACTGAGGTACATTCTTCCCTGTTGGAGTTTTGCATTGTAAATGGTGACACTGTTGTGAGTGTCCATCACACAGGGGCTTTTGCTGGGAGACTTGCATCCCCATGTGCCCTCTGGGGCAAGCCTTGGGTGCTGTGGCGAAGCTGCTGCCTGGGGAGCTCCCACCCCGTAGCAGACCACCTGCTTTGGGTCCAGCTTCCCACTGGTGCACATACCTGGGGCAGCAGAAGATGGTGCTTGTGCCTGGGTCCCTGCCAACCACATAGGAGACCCGGATGATGCTTCCAGTTCTTCGCTCAGCTGTGTTTATTTTGGGCTTTTGAAGAGTGAACCAGTGAATGGAGGATTTCTGTCTCTCTTGCCTTCCAAATAGAGGGGGGGAAATGAGAAAGCCCACATCCTGTCTGGAAGTCTGTAAACGTGTGCAGACTATGTGAGAAGGAGGGCCCCGTGCTCACTGTGTGCTTTACTCTTGTGGGAACCCAAGGAGATACGGCTCGAAGTGGCTGAGCGGCTGCGCCTGGACAGCAACCCACTGCAGTGGAGCGTGGCAGACGTAGTACGGTTCATCAGGTCCACTGACTGTGCCCCGTTAGCACGGATCTTCCTAGACCAGGTGAGCTGGGCCTCCCGAGTGGGGCTGAGGACTGGACAGGAGTGGGCAACAGTTTGTCCTCAGGGTTTCAGGTGATGTCTCAGTCTGAAGCAAGAGCACTGGTGTCGTTTCCGCTTCGGGAGCGGAAAGACAATTGGAAGTGTGTGTTTAGCATGTTCCATAGTTGTAGCGCATCAATGTTGCATTCTTCTTCCTCCTGAGAACATGATTCCATCCCCTATAACTGGCTTGAAATAGATTTGCTCATTGAAAAACACTTGGCCTCTGTGACGTGTTGGGTCACCATGATGCTGGCTGGTTTAAAGCTCCTGCTCATGGAAGCCCAGCGTGTCAGTGCTGTAGTGGAACCGTAGCAAGTTTTGCTGTGACTATGCAGAGGGGCCGCCCTGAGCATCTCTGAAAGGTTCTAGGAAAAAGCATGCAGGCCAAGTTCCTGCTTCTAATTCAGATTCAGCCCTCTCAAAGAGGTCTCCTCCGCCCCAGGTCCCTCTGATCACTGAAGCCCTGTTGAGTGCTGAGCAACAAGGCCCCTTGGCCTTGGTCAGAGTCAGTACTCCTTCTGAGGCCCTGGACAGGGCCTCTGCATCCTGTGCCACCACTTGCCCTCCCTGGGTACCTCCCAGGCACCCCCCACCATAGTGTCTCTTCTGCCTTCACAGGAGATCGACGGGCAGGCTCTGCTGCTCCTCACGCTTCCCACCGTGCAGGAGTGCATGGACTTAAAGCTGGGCCCTGCCATCAAGCTCTGCCATCACATAGAGAGGATCAAGTTTGCTTTTTACGAGCAGTTTGCCAACTGAGGAGGACAACCAAAGCGAGCTGCATCTGTGAAGCACAATGGGCACGGCCCCAGCCTGCCCTCGCTGCGGCCTGCCCTGCACCATGGCCTGCCCTGCTGGCCTGTCTTCAGGCTTGGGCCCGAGGGGGCCAGCCTGCTCTCTTTGCACTTTCAGGGAAGGAGGACCCACATCGAGGAAGCAAGGACTGTGCCTGGAAGTGGCTCTCCCGCCAGTGGTCATGTGCGTGGAGTGGCCTGGGGGACGCACCCGCCCAGGCTGCCAGAGAGCACCTTTTGGCGGGCTTCCTTTTCTTGGTGTCCCTTCCCGTCGGAGGTTGGACGTGTTCTCTGCTTTCTCGCTTGGAAAGAGAGGACGTAGCTTTAAACCGGCGCTGACTTGGACTGTGCCTCAGGCACACCAGTGCCTCCTTGTCCTTGTGTTTTTAAGCTTTTTTAAATTAAAACCGTTCACTTTGGGGATGCCTGTGGCTCTAGGGTTTTGAATGTACGGTCACACTTAAATCCATTTTAAAGTCTATTCTTACGAGTTCCTTTGTTTACTACCTCTGTTGGTGATTGAGCTTACAGCCATGTATGAAGGGTTGTATAATGCCATTTTGTTTAAGCAACGTGAATACCCAAACTATTCACAGAAATTGGAGGGGAAGGAAAACACTGTTTGCTTCATTCATGCAAAGCATGACAAGAGCTCTCCACGAGCTTGGGAAGGGACTGAGCAGGGGGTCGGAAGTGGGGGCTTCCTCCCATGGCGGTTCCCATGTTGCCCAGCTCAGGCCGCCTGCATTAGGCAGTGATGCCAGGGCTGCCGGTGTTTGGTTTAATGGCACTCTCTCACCGCTCTCTTCCCCTCTCCTTCTCTCTCTCAATTCTCCAGAGGGATGTCTGCAAAGTATGTTTTGTGTTTACTTTGCTCTAGGGTTATTGGTCTGCCCTTTGATTTCCACAAGCCTGTCCCTGGTGTGCAGCTGCAAAGCCAGGTTCCCTTCCTCCCTGGCCATCTCCAGGTCCACAGTGTAGAAGCACAGCGGAGAAAGCTCGCTTCTGGGGATGACACACAGCATAGAGCTTCTGTCCTGGTGTGTCCATGGCTGGGTGAAAGCAGGGAAGTAAGTGGACAAGTACTCAGAAACCTCCTTCCCAAGCTACACATTGATGCTGCTCCTTGGCCAAACCTGTCCGCTGGGTGTCTGGGCCAGCCAGCAGTAGCAGGAGGGAGCAGGGAGAAGCCCCGCCTGTGGCTGTGTCTAGTCTGGTGCTGCCCAGGTGGCTGGCCTCCCAGGGGGTTGGTTCCCTTCACTGTGTGTTTGCTTATTTATTTATTTATTTGGACTATCCTGGTCACCTGCAAATTTATAACCCAATCATTTCCCTATCTTGATTTGAAAATGTTTTTAAACTGCAAACTGGGTAAATGCTAAACCTTACAAATACAAGGTAACGTTATTACAAGCTTAAGCCGACTGTGATTTTTTTTCATTGCCTCCCTTCCTGCATTTTTGTGGATATTGGCAAACACCTGTAGGTCTGGACCATATCACCCTGGGTCATTGGTGAACCCCTAGCGCCGGCCCTCTTGCCACATCCGGTACTAAAGCATTGGCGTTCTGTGTAGGGTGCTGCCAGATGCATCTGGAAAGAAGCTCCATCTAACTCAGTGAGTGTGTTGAACTCATTCTGAGGCCCTGGGTGTGGTGTGTGTGTGTGTGTGTGTGTGTGTGTGTGTGTGTGTGTGTGTGTGTGTGTGTGTGTGTGTGTGTGTGCGCGCGCGCGCACGCTGTGCCCAGGTTAGACAAATGTGTGTGCTGCTAAGGAGCACTCAGCAAGAAGCTGGTGGTGGATGGTGTTGGGAGCACTTGTCTCACTCAGGGCTGTTCCCCAAGAGCTCAGCTGTGGGGGTACCAAGGCACAAAGGGTCCCTTGAGTGAGGGTCATTTGGGAAAATGAAATGAGCTTCCTGTAAGAGGGGATTTACCAAGTATAATGTCAGCAATTTTGTGGTGCTTGTCTCTGACTTGTTCAGAACCCACAGGACCTAGCCCTGTCTCCCATCATAGGTGCAGGCATGATGCTCAGGTGGAGTGAGCAGTGTGGCTGGGCAGGGCTGGCAGAACCATCTACTCCTACCCAGCATTCCCCTGGGGGAAAGCTGACCCAAAGCTGGACAGAGGGGTGGGGTTTCCTTTATCATTTCTCCCCTTGTGCCCTTGGCCCACGGTTCACTGGACAACTGCATTAAAGAGCTGTGTGTCATACTCACCCCACCTCCACCCAGTGCCTGCTCCCTGACCCGGCCCAGGAGAGGATGACGGCTGGGGACTTGTCCCACATATCTCTCTGAGTAAGATGGGTCACGACCATCCTCACAAGCTTCTGGAGCTGGGCTGTGAGGACAGCTACTCGCTGTGTCCAGGCACATGTCTACCTGTCCACGGGCTTGGGGACCACCTGTCCTGGAGAGCCCAGCCTCTTGGTGTTTGACAGATGCAGTGTGAGGGAATTACATTTGTCAGGGTTCTACCTTCAGTTGGAGCCTGAGCCTGTCTGAGATCGGTAAGTTTCTCATAATCAATTTTCTCCTCCTCAGTTGACAACACAGAAACAGGTGAGGCTGGACCTGCAGCCTTCTGGGTGTCGGTTGCTGTCCAGCCTGCTCACTGGTGATCAAGCTCCCTGTTGTTGGCCTGCGAAAAGCAATAGATGATTCAACTGCTTGAGCTGCTGCAGCCACATGGGAGACCAAGAAGCTACTGACTTCCGGCTTTGGTTAGCCAAGCTCTGGCTATTGCACTTTATTCTGGATAATGAACCAGAAGATGGAAGATTGATCTCTGTCTCTCTGTAGCTGACTTTGGAATAAATAAATCTTGAAAAAAACACAAAAACATGGCTGTTGGGCTGCATCATCCTTCTGGGCCCTCACAGTTGGCTGCCCAATACTAGTATATTTCTGCCCTGTGCTATCCTGGGGAAGGCCCCTAAGTGCACCTACAGATCTGCCTGTATTTCCAGGGTGGGTATTCGGCCCTGTGTCATTTTGCTTTGTGAACCACTTTTATCTCTTTCATCCTGCAGGGACTACACCCCCAGATTCCTTTGCAACCTCATTGTCCTTTCTTAAGCAGTGCAGGGCAGGGTCCACTGACCACCATGTGGGAAAGGTGACTGCAGGTAATGCTGATTGATTGGCAATAGAGGCAAATGCAGGGATAAGCATACTGAGTTCTCCCATATCATTACAACAGCATAGTTCCTCATCAACAGTCATAAGTCCATGATTGCAGGCATGGACAATGGCAGAGAGTCCAGCATCCCATTGTCAAGACACATCCAACAATTTCACTGGGAGTCCATTCTCAATCCGGAAGTAGAGATGCACATCACAGTGTGTCCTCATGTGGACATGTCAGTCTCCACTACAGTCACTATAAATCATCACGAGTGAAAAGCCACAAAATAAAAACCAGCAGGGCCTGGTGGCGTGGCCTAGCGGCTAAAGTCCTTGCCTTGAATGTGCCAGGATCCCATATGGGCGCCGGTTCTAATCCTGGCAGTTCCATTTCCCATCCAGCTCCCTGCCTGTGGCCTGGGAAAGCAGTCGAGGATGGCCCAAAGCCTTGGGACCCTGCACCCGTGTGGGAGACCCGGAAGAAGCTCCTGGATCCTGGTTTCGAATTGGCATAGCACCGACCGTTGCGCTCACTTGGGGAATGAATCATCGGACGGAAGATCTTCCTCTCTGTCTCTTCTCCTCTCTGTATATCTGACTTTCCAATAAATAAATAAATCTTTTAAGAAAATAATTTAAAAAATAAAAACCAGCAACAGGAAGAAAACCAGAAATTTACAATGTCATGAAGTTAAACAACATGCCACTGAATATGATGGTCTCCATTATACAGTTATAATACATCCCCTTAAAAGAAACTTACAGTACCATAAAGTTAAATAACATGCTACTGAATGACTAATGTGTTGCTGAAGAAATTAAAAAGGGGGCCTGGCGGCGTGGCCTAGTGAATAAAGTCCTCACCTTGAACGTGCCATATGGGCGCCGGTTCTAATCCCGGCAGCTCCACTTCCCATCTAGCTCCCTATTTGTGGCCTGGGAAAGCAGTCCAGGACAGCCCAAAGCCTTGGGACTCTACACCCCTTGGGAGACCTGGAAGAAGTTCCTGACTCCTGGCTTTGGATCGGCATAGCATCAGCCATTGTGCTCACTTGGGGAGTGAATCATTGGACAGAAGATCTTTCTTTCTTTCCTCCTCTCTGTATGTCTGACTTTGTAATACAAATAAATAAAATCTTTTTTTAAAAATGAAAAAGGAAATCAAGAACCTTTTTAAAGAAAATTATGCTACTGTATGATCTGAGTCATTAAAGAATTTAATGAGAAAAAGCATGTTTTGATGAAGCTAAAAAAAAAAAGAAAGCACTTGTTATTGCAGACCTGGGGATCTGAGCCTTCGATGCTCTTCTCTCTGAACTATGTGTAGAAACACCTCAGGGTCTCCTCACGCCCAGCCCTAGTCTCCAGGTCTTGAAGGCACACCACACTGGTGTCCTCCGAAGACGTACTGTGAACTGTGGACACCCTCCCGATGTAGGCACACACACCCCCCAGACATTCCCGCAACTCAGATTCTCCTCTACGCAGTTATTTTCTGAACCTGATTCTCTGTGTTGGTCATGGTCAAAGGTTGAGGAGTTTTTATATTCTGTACATTAAAATTCAATTTAAAAGCATCTTGTGGCCTAGTCTCTTAGGCCAGAACACTCCGGGCATTTGAGAGTAAAGGAACAAGGATGTTTCTGCTCTTGGAGAGGTTCACACTCCACCTGAAGGGAGATGCATGTCCAACCACCTCACTCAGCACTCCACAAAGTTCTGGCACAACAGCACCACAAGAGGGAATGTGGGAGCAGGGGAGAAAGAGTCGCACCGAGGCAGCCAGGACTCAGAGACGGCCGAGCCTCAGGACCTGCACAGTTACTGCTTTGCATAATCAGGCAGCTACTGGGCAGCACGGAGCCTTCGGTTGGAATTTTGGGGGGTTATTTTAGTGGGCACGTTCTCCCCAGAGACAACTGGGGTCCTACTACGTGGAGCCCCAACAAGCGGTGTCCGAGAGAAGCCAGAAGGGGCTGGTGGAGCCCTGGGAGGATGGGAGTTCAAAGCTGCAGGACAGGTGAGAGAACAGGGTGAGGGTCTGCATGCAGGGCGATGCTGGAGCCCAATCCGTTCCAGCCGTTCGGCTTTCTGCGCTTTGGGTTCCAAGTGTAGGTGTCTCGCAAGCGAACAAGGCGGGGACACGCGCACACCCATCTTCCAGGGGTCCACCTGAGGAGTGTTTAAACGGAAGCGCTGGGGTTGAATTCACCTTGCAGAGGGACGGCTGGAGAGAATCGGCCGGGGACTTTGATTGAATTTAAGATGAGCCTTGGGCTTGCAGAAGTCGAAGGATGCCAAACATCCGGTCTGAAAGGAAGGCGCCCGTGTGCAGTTATAGATTGTCTGGTTCAATCACCCGTTTGGGAATAATCCAGGTTTAAGACCGTGAGGCTCCAGGCTAAAACTGCTGAATCGGAATCTCTCCGAGGATGAAGCCCAGGAAGTATTTTTAAATCCTCAAAGGTACGTCAGGAGAGCCGCCTCGGAGGCAAAGTGAGTGGAGCACCCCCTCTCCATTCCCCGCCCCGGCTCGGGAATCCCGACTTGGAACTCGGGGGTCCTCCCACCCGCCGCGCTGCGCCAGCTCACCTGGCCCGTCTCACCTGCGCGGCCGGGACCCCCTCGGGCGCCGCGCCGGAGCCCCGGCCCCTGGGAGGCGGGGGGTAAGGAGACTCGGAGCGCAGGGACCCGCCTCTCCGCGCCGCGCAGGGCCAATCGTGCGCTGCGATCTCAGACGTCGGGTGACGCGCGGCGCCGAGGCGGCAGCGGGCGGAGGTCCCGGCTCCCCGGCTCGGGCTCCCGCGGCTGCGGGCTCGGCGACGCGGCCCCGGGGCAGGCAGCGAGGCCGGGCCGGGCCGTGGCGCCCCGCGCCTCTCCCGCCAGGCCCGCCATGCAGGGCCCTTTCGGGAACGCGAGCCGCGGGGTGCCGGGCGGGCCGCCCTCCACCACGGCGGCCGGGGCGGGCCGCTGCGAGAGCGGCGCGCTCATGCACAGTTTCGGCATCTTCCTGCAGGGGCTGCTCGGCGTCGTGGCCTTCAGCACGTTGATGCGTGAGTCTGGGACCCCTCTCGCCCCTTCCTGAGGCCTTGCGCGGAGAGCCTCGGGCCCAGCTCCGCTCCGGAGACCCTCCCGGGCGCAAGAGTTAGGGCCTGGGTTCCCGTGGCTTTCGGGCAGAATAGAACCTTTCTCGCCCCGCGAGCTCCAAGCTGGGCATTCCCGGGGTGGGGGGCGGCGACACCCCCAGCCTCAAGGTCTCGAGCACCCCCTCACCCTCTCGAGCGGCGTCAGTGTGGGTCAGTGTCTCCTCTCCAGCTGACTGGTCTGTGAAGTGCTAGCCTCAGTCGCCCCTCCTACCTTGTGGTCGAGAATTAGGGTGAACTCCTCTCTCCGGCCTGGAGCCATCGTCCTCTTTGGTACATCTGGTGAAAAGCTCCCGGTTAGCGTTCGGAACCCACTTGTTATAAGACCTCGGCCAGATGCTGGGCTGTTTTCCGCACCCTCACTCCACAAGGCTTGGCCTTCACATGCTTCTCCTTCCCTGTCTTGTCGACCCCTCACCTGCGCGCTCATACACACACCCGTGGTCCCTCTGCCCCCCTAGTAGCCTTGCTTTTCTTTTGGTCGAGGCGAGACCCGCCTGGGTCACCGCCTCCCGTGCCTTTCCCTTCTTCCTTCCCTAGCAGGCCCACCTGTGTCATCTCCACCGCAGCTTTCCTAATGAAGTGCGGGCGGCCCATTTTGATTATTTGTATCGCACGTTTCCCTGCTTGGCACGGGTGGCTCAGAGGGCCCGGGGAGATCCAGACCCCCCAGTGCTGAGCCACCAGGACCCCTTCTTACAGAGTTGGAGGCATAGGGGACCCCAGATGGCATTCTGGATTGCCAGCAGCCCTGCGCTGTTGTGGTGGGTTTATAAGAACTGGTGGCTGAGTGATTTTCTTGACTCACATCTCTCCCCTTACTCAAGTGTGCGTGTTCTGTGGCTTTGAAACAGTGTCCCTGGGAATGCCTTAGAGGGGAGAAGGAAAGGTTATGACTGTGCAGTGACCGTGTTCACCAAACTTCCTGCAGAAAGTGTGCCCCTGCAGCCCTGGGTGGCCCTGGCAGCTGTGTACCTTGCTGGGCCCAGTAGCCAGTGTGTGACCACTATACTTATCTGTCAACGTGGCATTTCTTTGGGTGAATTCGCCCAGGCTCTGGGTGAGCCTGACTTTGGGGACGATCTTGCAATATGGGCACAACTGTGTATTTTTTTGCCATCACCACCACCATCCGGCTGGCTATTTTCTCTGCTGGACAAATAGGCACTTGTGCCCACAGCCATCGTTTGTGGCAGCTCAACCGTGCTAGCTGCCAACATGTGAGTGTGTGTGTGTGTCCCAAGAGCTTCTGAGAACTCCCGGCGACCCTCCCCAATGCCGTGGACTCGCCAGCCTGCCTCTCTCTTTCTCTCTGGAGGCTGGATTTTTTGTTTCCTAACTCAGGATTTTTTAGCCTAACTTTGGCCTGTTGTGGCCCTGACGGTTTGATGCTCGTGATTCTGAGAGGGAAATGTGCCTGCAAGGGACTCAGCCAGGTGTGCTGAGCTGCCTGTGTCCCAGCGGCCGTGCCGGCCCTGTCAGTCTCGAGGGACGCTCTTGGTAAGCTTCAGTGTGAACGCAGGTGCCGATCCCGCTGTGGTTGAGATGTAGAGTCATGTTTGGTGTTAAGACCGGTTATGGACAGAACTTATGGAAACAACTGGCAGGGGTGGGACAGCCTGAGGGAGGAGTGATAGGCTTGGGAAGCAAAGTGTGCCCTGGACAGGAGAGCAAGAGCATCATGGATGGAGCAGGCCTAGGTGCCAGGGCTGTGGGGAGGAGCCTGCTCACTGGAACCCCCCTCCCCCCCCAGGCCAGGAAGTGCCTTTCTTCTCTCCAGACTTCTTGGTGCACTTGAGCTAGAACCTGGCCTTTGCCTTTTTGAATTGCTGGGAAGAGGAGGGAACAAGGGGGCTGCTTGACACCTTAGAGCGAACTTTGCCAGGGGAAAAAGAGAGGCCTGGAGGTGGCCTCAGGAGATCTCTGTGAACTACTTGGCTCTGCCCTTGACTTTCAGTCCCCTGGGCACGGAGCCCTGGCCTCCCTGACAGCCCTCAGAGGGGGTGGAGGGGTGGGGTGTGTTAAGATAAGGCCACTGTGGCCTTCACTAATCCCGTTGTCTTCTTCAAGCAAAGTGAGATAACCATCAGTCCCGGCTGGGCAGGTTGACAGGCCTGTCCCCTCTGGGGCCAGAGTTGTCCTGTTGTGTCCCTGGAGCCCTGCACCCAGCACCGGCTCGCCCCTCCGGGCTTCCTGGTTCTGATGCCAGGCACTGTTCCTTCTTGGCCCCTCTGCCAGGCACCTGTGGGGGAGCTTGCCTCACTTCACAGCTCTGATGTCACCCACTCCTCAGACCACTGTCTCTGTGCTTCTGTTTTAAAAGACAGATTTATTTATGTATGTATTTCAAAGGCAGAGTGCCAGAGAGATCTTTCATCCACTGGTTCATTCCCAAATGCCCGCAACAGCCACGGGCTGAGCCAGGCCAAAGGTTACTATCAGAAACTCCCCGTCCTGCCGGGCCATCCCCTGCTGCCTTCCCAGGTGCGTTATTTTGGATTTGAAGCAGAACAACCAGACTTGAACCAGCGTTGTGATCTGAGATGGATGTGGGATGTTTAAGGAATATTGGTGTCACAAGTGCTGGCTTAATGCACTGTGCCAAAATGCTGGTCCCTTAGTTGCTTTTGATGCCCTGTGCCCAGAAAAACCTGCTTTTCTTTACCTACAAATTGCTGTGTGGAAGATTTGTCCCAGAGGAAGCTGTGTGGAGGACATGTCTCTGGGGAGGATGTGGTTTGCACAAGGATTTATCTTCCAGGCACTGGTAGATGCCTTCCTTGGTGGGGAGCGGGGAGTGGGAATCCCTTGCAGCCAGCTCAGAGTCATCAGACGTGTAGCCTCTTCTGTTGGCCCCAGAAACTCGCTGCAGGATCCCACCCTTGAAGTGTCACATGCCGGCCTCGCCCCATTAGCCCAGCTGGCTTCCCAGAGGCTCTAGCCTAGGTGTCCTCCACGAACAGGCAGAGACCACTACAGACTCAGATGCTAGCTCACGCAACAGTTTCTGATGCTGGGCTTCCTGGGGAGTCGCTGGCAGTGACTGTGTCTGCTGGAGAGAGGACCACTGTGCACCCTGGGGCTCAGTACTGCCCTGCCGAGCACTTCTTCCTGCCTGGGTGACTTGGGCCGCAGCCTGAGACTCCACAGCATCGCTCAGATTAGAATTACAGCAGAGCTGGGCCAGGCAGGCCTGTATGCACACAGTTGGGGTGCCGGGGGAGCCTCCTGCTGCTAGCCCAAGGTCGGCACTGGCCTGTGTGTGTGTTGGCACAGAGAGTGTTTATTCTCAGGTTGTGTGAGCACAAAGCAAGCCTGGGCCACCTCCACCCTGCACAGCAGGGCTCTGAGCTGAGGTGGAGGCAGAATTGGTGTGAAACAGAGCAGGTGTTTTGGGAGCTAGGGTTAAGTTGGCCTGTTTTCGTGGCACAGATAGAGAGAGCAGCCAACTGGAAGAAATGTGTCAGTGTTTTACGGAAACGCTATTAGCACCAAGAAGTGACAGCTTTTTTTCCTGAAGCCCAAAGTCTAGTCACAGGCTCTATACCAGCGTTGGGAGCTTAACCTCAGTGGGGAGTCCTGTGATGGTTCCTAGCAGCTGAGTCTGCTGTGGATAAAGACAGCTTCTGACATAACGGCCTAAGAAAACTATCAAGAAATCTGGAACAGCAACTAATATCCCCTCCATATTCACATTTCCCACAAAATCTCAAATCTCCTATGGCTCAGTTTTTTTTTTTTTTAATTGGAAAGTCAGATTTTACAGAGAGAAGGAGAGACAGAGAAAGATCTTCCATCCACTGGTTCACTCCCCAAGTAGCCACAACAACTGCCAGAGCTGAGCTGATCTGAAGCCAGGAGCTCAGTTCTTTTTTTTTTTTTTTAAAGATTTATTTTTATTATTTTTTTATTGGAAAGGCGGATATACAGAGAGGAGAGACAGAGAGGAAGATCTTCCGTCCGATGACTCACTCCCCAAGTGAGCGCAACAGCCGATGGTATGCCGATCCGAAGCCAGGAGCCTCTTCCGGGTCTCCCACGCGGGTGCAGGTTCCCAAAGCCTTGGGCCGTCCTCGACTGCTTTCCCGGGCCACAGGCAGGGAGCTGGAAGGGAAGCGGGGCTGCCGGGATTAGAACCGGCGCCCATATGGGATCCCGGGCGTGCTAGGCGAGGACCTTAACCACTTGCGCCACCGCGCTGGGCCCAAGCTCAGTTCTTAAGAACCATGTTCCAGTCGAGGTCCACACACTGTGTCTGGCCATTTTTAAGTCACTTGAGGAGCGTGTCTGGCTTGTGCTCTTGGGTTACCATGTGTTGCCTTATTTTGGTATTTGAGCTGTTTTCTGCGTTTGGATCTGCTGGAGCAATTGGATTCAAGTTTTTCATTGGCAAGAATAGTGCATAAGCAGCACCCTACATTGTGGGTTGCTTACCAACTGGGAGGTGTGTGACATCGGGGCTGTCCCACTGTCAGTGATGGGGGTGGGGACAGGCAATTCCGTGCTGTTGAAGGGGACACCTCTCCCTTGCAAATTGTGCATTGCGTTTTCCTCCTCAGTTAAGGAACAGTCTCTGGCAGGTGCTAATGCTTTGAGAGCCTCTGCCTGCTCGCTGGACTCCCAGGACCCTCTCGCTCGGTGGTCAGTCCTTCCTAGTGAAACTACGAGAGACAGCAGTGGCTCCGTTTGGAACTGGAGGCTGTACAACCAGTTGCCTGTCCATGTCCGTTCCTCCCTCAAGAGGGCCAGCCAAGGAAAGAGTGTCCCTCTGTCCCACAGTGGCCTTGTGCCCAAGGGCCAAGTGGTGTAGGTGATGCCAGCTTGCTGACTGGCTCAACCAGGGACAGCGTGTTTAGAAACTTTCAGGTTATTTAAGTGCCGATTTATCTGGTAGCTTTGCTCCGTAATGC